TTCATTTTGTTATGCTTATCCTAGCAAGCTATGGCACATTTTCCTTTTTTTCTACAACTTTATTTTTTTTATGTTATTTTCATAAATATGTCGCCCTAGTGAGCTCCATCGTAATTTCTTTTTCCCTACATCAATCTCATCTAAGTGATGCCCTTGTAAACTCAATTATGGTTCTTTACACTATCGAGGAGGGTTTTGAGAATTAAAGAGCAAGATTATGATGAGTTCTCATATCGTCAAAACCAATAGCATGCCAAGATGCCAAGGGGATCAGTGACATGAAGGTGGCGATGGGACTAACAACCTACAAAGGTGGCGATAGGACCAACGACATGTGAAGACATGCAAAGTCGTGACAAGATATGAATGACATGATAGAGTAAGTGGTATTTTTGTTTATATTTAAAATCTTAAACATTATGTGAGTAAATAATGAAGTTTAGATATTAAACATGTAAGGAATTTTTTAGTGGCATGTATATAAAACCCCTAATAAATGAAAATGATGGGTTATGTAATTTTTTTTAGTTCTCTTAATTAATTTTGGTAGGGTCATTAAAGATTATGATGTTAACTCAATGTCAATTTGACATCATTAAATTCAACATGGAATCTCCTTATTCTCCCCAAATCTGATAATAAACTCAATTCTATGAAAATCGAACAGGACCAAGAGTCGAAAGAATGAGAGGTTCACGATTCAACCAGTTCGACTAGGTGTATGATAAAGCATAGTTGATAAAGTATTGTTGATGTCTATTTAACTAAAATATATAAAATTTAAATTAATTTATTAAGTAAAATATTTAAAAATAAATTTGTTTAGTAAAATATGTTTATTTTCTGCGATGTTGAAGATGGATGAAATGTGAAGCTAATGTGGTAATTAAATGATGTAATTGTTATCATTGATTCATTTTGAGATGGGAAATAGTCCAAGTTTTTGTAACTTTAATTTGGAGTAGGTACTCACTAGAAAATGCTCTTTGCATAAATAACTCATCACAAACTCCACCAAAGTGAGCCATTTCACCCAACAATGTTAGTTAGCACTTTGCTTATAAGCTTTAGCATTGCTGCTCAACTTGGCCTTGACTTCCTAGAGCATATTATCAAAGTATATTGCTATGGTGGTTTTGGTAGCATAGTAAGATTCATGAATGATAGCTAAGTCCACAGTTTGATTAGGCACCTTGGTGTAAAAAGGGATTTTCCAATGGAGCCATTAGCCATGGAAGTTTAAGGAACTCTGCTTAACTGAGCTCTTCATCCTCCTATTTTATGTGTTTTCTAGCTAAACATCTAATCATGTTAGTTAGTATTTGTTTCACTTACTCATCTAATCATGTTTGTTAGTATTTGTTTCACTTACTCAGCCAAGATGCTAGTTTTGGGGTTATAATTGAAACTTAAACTAATTTCATAGACTTTTTTATATTTCTCTCTAGATGAAGCTAAAGAACTTGACATCTTGATCATAGGTGAGGCTCCTTTGTTTTTCCTACAAGCGAACAATATTACGAAAGAATATACTGGCTACAACAAAGGTCTCCTTGCATGCAACAAAGTGTTACATACTTATAATTTGATGACCAACATCATAACAAAATTGAATCGTTACTTCTTTTTTGGTTGACCCAAAATGAATTTTAAGCTTAGATCTTCCCGTATAGAATTGGGTATGGGTAATTGCATGTACAAACATGTGTTTTGAGTTGTGTCTTTGTAAACTTGGCAAATGTATGACTATTCAAAATACTGCCTCATATAATTTGAGATAAAATAATTAAGCTTGCATGAGGGATAGAGTTTTATCATGTCCATATTGCCGCAAGAAATCATATTTCTTACATTATTTGAGTGCCAAGAATAACGCATACAACTCAAATTCATAAGGTGACCATTGTTGCCTCACACAATTAGCATTTCCCCAAAGAATTCTATGGGCTTATCCTCCTAAAACAACATTGCTTTAACTCCCACTATTGAGGCATCAATGATGACAAAGAATTGGTTTTTTGAAATCAAATATAGCCAATACAGGTGATGAGCAAAGATAAATCTTAATGCACTTTTTGAAACAAAGATAATATTCAAAACTTAAGCTTTGTTTAGCTTTTAAATTAATAAGACCTTAAATCTTTTTTGTTTTTTAATATTATTTCCATTTAGATTATCGTATAAGATGAAAAAAAGTTAAATGTCATAGCCAAATGCAAGATTTTGAAAATTTAGATGTTTGATTGAAAATGAAACAAATTCAAAATATTTTAGTGGGGAGTTTGTAATACATCCTTTAGTTTATTGATGTTAGCTCTTGCTCACGACTCATAGAGAGTGTGTATGAATCTAGCTTTGGCCCTCTGCCTTGCGTGACCTTGACCATCGCCCTCTGCCTCACACGACGATGAGCTTTGAGCTATCCTTGGCGAAAACTCATGACTCTGCCATCTTGCCTGCTGACATAACTTATGCTGCCTGCAACCTCATATCACCTGTGCACCTTGAGCTCCTTCTCGCCAATGCACATGACTCCCAACACCCGCGACCTCTTGTGTGCAATGTCCACAATTAACTTTGTCGCTACTAAGCTCCCCAATTTTATAGACAAACAAATCAATTATAAAAAAAAAAAATTAAAAAAATTTATTTTACAATAAGCCAAACACTGAAAATTTATCTCTTGAATTTATTTTACAATCAACCAAACTTCAAAAGTAATTTACTTTGCAGTGCATTTAGAATGCATCTAAATTATAAATGCTTGCAACCAAACAACCCACAAGTAATTGTATGGCTCAAGCTAAGAAGCATATCTAACGGTTGGCTGCTGACAGTGACGGCCGACTGTGGATGATAGCGATGGTAGCCGATGATGGGGGTGGTGATGGAGGGTGGTGGCCGACGACGATGGTGGACTGTGGTGGGTAATGGTAGCCAGCAGTTGTGGATGATGGTGGGTGGCATTGGGTGGTGATTGTCGAGCAAGCTTGCTTGCAGTGTAAATAGTTCTCTCAAAATTGGACGAGTTTGGTTTATCTCAATCTCAAAGATCACTATAAGAAAATAGTTTATTACCCGCAAACAAAATCCACTAATAACAAGGGAAATTCTTCAGAAATCTTGCTTTTCTAGCGAATTTCTAGTGAATATTCACACAACGGTAATTCACACGTCGCAATTCTTTTCCAGCAAAATATTTCCGCCAGGAACATTTCAGTTGCAATTTTTGCAAAAAAATAAAGAAGGCACGTCGTTTTCTTTGAACGAATTCTGGCATTATATTCGTCAGTATTTCCAGCGGAAACGGTAAGCCGGAACTACCAGCAAATAATCTGCCGCCCTTTTTCGTCGGAAATTTACATACATTTCATCGTATCGTACTTTCTGGTGGATAATCCACCGGAAACTCGTAACATAAACAAAAAAAAAAATTTCTTTCCCTCTTAGAAATTGTTTTCTATAAGATAACATGCATGCAAAAGTTCCAATATCATATTCATTCAAACATAAACCTTTAATCAAAAACATCAACAAATATTGAACATAAACATACATTCAAAATTTATTAACCAAATAGTTTAAAACAAAATTTAAAGTTTATTCGTTTAAAACTACACAAATGTACAAAAATAAATAAGTACAAATGTCTAGAAAAAACTGCACATCTAATCTGAATTAGTCTCCTCCTCTGCTGAAGCTACCTTCTTTCCACTGAGTTGCTCCCTCAATTTTTCATATTTCATCCAACAATTAAGTTTGTTGCATCTGCATCTGCATCTACCGGTCATTGCGCCAATCAGTTATACATCGAACTTCTTATATTTCTAATATTTATAATATAGCATACATATAATATGAATATATAATATATTATTGTAACATATATTGAAGTAAAATAGATGGATTTTAATTTTATTTGTAAAGCAAATAGTATTATTTCATGCAAATCCACTGCCAATGAAAAATCTAGCAGTCTCCCGGCGTCTCCCCTGCTTAGGGGAAATACAATGAGTCTTAGTCTACCGCCAAGTTAAGAAAGACGTATACGATTGATGTCAGGTGACATCGCGACTGTGGTCTTCAATCCTAACATGCCAAAAAAGGCATGTATAGGTCTTCAAGCGGGTACCTGTGTGAAAATGTAATTAGCGCTGGAGATATTTCTGATGAAATTACTGATTTTCTTGATGTGTGAAAATGTAGTTTGCATGACAATACCATCTAAGACAAATCTCTCGCTCTCTCTAATATTATCTTCCATAAGAGCTTCTCGAACATTTTCACATATATGCTTATTTTGTATCTTATCCCTAAGAGTAAAGATAGCCACTCATGAGCATTACAATCTCTACAAACCATCTAAGACAAATCTCTCGCTCTTTGCAATATTATCTTCGATAAGAGCTTCTCCAATATTTTCACTTATATGCTCATTTCATATCTTATCTCTAAGAGTAAATTTCATAAGAGCATTCTAATCTCAACTAATAAAATACACATCTCTCACTCTTGCTTTTTGTAATCTCATCCCATAGAGCATTCTAATCTCAAATAAAAATATACACATTAACTCCCTCTCTAGACTCATCAACAAAATGCATACACCATATTACAATCTCTTGCAAATGTCTGCCGAGAACATTCATGACAAAAGTAAAAAACTTATGGCGTATTTCTGACAAACAAGACAGCTAACGTCAGCAATGGAGGCGGCGAACATGGGCAAGGTCTATGGCGAACGTCGTCAACGTACCAATCTCAATTAATGTTTGCTATATGGTTGATTTATATAATTAAGTAGTTACAAATACTAAATGATTTAGACAAAGTATGAATGAATGGTTATTTTTTGACGATTATCCTTAAAAAAAACACTTCCTTTCTTCCCACGTTGGTGGAGAGCGTCACTGACTGGTCCCCACCTTATCCGAATAAAAACCAAGCCAACCAATCCAAATCCCGAAGCCAAACCACGCCGCATCGGAAAAAAAAAAAAGACGATTTTTAATTTTTTTGCGAAAGAAAACGCAGGGAAAGGACCGTCATTCTGCTCCCTGCTTCCCTCCACAGTCCACAATCTTCTTCCCACAGCGCCACCCAAATGGAAACCATTCTCTTCTCTCCTTCTTCCAATCCAATTCTCAATCCCAAATCCATCTTCTCCAAAACCCCTTCTCTCCCTCGCCTCAACAAGCCCATCATCTCCTCCGTCCTAAAAAAACCAATCCAATCCACCCATGCGTCTCTTTCTTCACAGAACAAGGACTGGCTCTCTTCCTTGCATCATGGATTGGCTGCGGCAGCTATTTCCATTGCAATCAACTTCTGTCCTCTACCGACCGCTACCGGCCCTGCCATAGCTTCCGAGTTCGACGTGCTTAATGAGGGGCCGCCGACGGAATCATATGTGGTCGACGACGCCGGCGTGCTCAGCCGAGTTACCAAGAGTGATCTCAAGCGAATGTTTTCTGACTTGGAGTCGAGGAAGAACCTACACGTCAATTTCATCACTGTCCGCAAACTCACGGTATGTCTGTATAACTTCAGGTCCTCTTGTGCCGGTCAGGTGTTTGATTATATGCCCAAATTGCTTATTTTGAAAATTTGCTTATGGTGTGTAAGGAACACTCATTTTGACATTGAAATCATAGAAAATGTTCACTATTAAAACAATTTTCTTTTCAAGAGCTCGCACCCTCAGAAATGAACAAGGGGATGGATATTTGAGTGAGGTGTAATAATCTTTTCCACTTATGTGTTACTGCTAACTTTCCTTGAAACATTTTGAAGTTGAAATTGAAAACTCAAAAGTTTATGATAAATAATCAACCTGATCAATATCTTAGAGACCAAAGCAATTAACCTTTCAGTAACTATATTTGTCTTTGATTGAAAACAGTAAAAAGCCCATCATATTAACTTTATTATTTGTAATAAATTCCTTAGCAAGACAAGGAATGAATTCTTTCATGCATATTTGTTTCCATTGTCCTATGAGTATTTCAAATTTTAATTTCTACAGAAGTCCTTTGATTGTTTGGCCAACCGATAAATAATTATAATGGAGGCTTTTCCTGGGAAGATTCATACTGGAAGTGATGCCGGTTGTTTGATCAAGGTTTTTTTTTTCTTTGACCATTTAAGTAAAAAATGCAAATTTATATTCATTTATATGAATTCGTCGCAGAGCAAAGCAGATGCTTTTGAGTATGCGGACTCAGTCTTGGAGAAGTGGTATCCTACTGTTGAAGAAGGTAACAACAAGGGAATAGTTGTGCTTGTCACCACTCAGAAAGAAGGGGCAATAACAGGCGGGCCAGCTTTTATTGAAGCTGTGGGAGAAAAAGTTCTCGATGCCACTGTGTCAGAGAACCTTCCAGGTGAGAAATTAACTAAGGCTTCATTTGGGACGGCTTTCTTACTCTTGTTAAAACTACTTTTTAGTAAAAAAATTAAATTTATGTACTAAAAAGCTGCTTTAAGAAACAGCAAGAAAGTCGTCTCAAACGAAATCTAAATCTTTTTGTTTGTCATAATATCAAGAGAGTTTTTCTCTCGGCTCACTAGACATCACAGGAATGCCTTTTAACACTCTATGCAACATTTATGATCATCTTTTTTTTTTCTGTAAATGAAGAAAGTGATAATCCAAGCTTAAGCTGTATGTTTCCGCATCTTCAAAATGTTTACCACAGAACATTAAATTCAACCACTGTTGAGCAAACATCGTTTATTTGAGTTTTAGAACTTCCAACTCAACCTCCAATGGTCTTCTATATATCATATCTTGCTCGAAATCTCTCTTGATTGCCTACCAGTTTGGCTTACTTATAGAGTCATTACGATGGTGCACATATTTGATTCTAGCATGTAAATAATATCTGAGATATCTACAATTCACCTATCTCATTGACAGAAGGCATAGCTAGCTTAAATTTTGTCATCTTGAAATTAGATAAGGCTAAACAAGTCACAGACATTTCTGAACTTTGGAACGATCTTTGTTCCTCTTAGAAGTATGAGTAGAAAGAAAATTAAGCAGTCGGAATGTTTAGGAAATTATTTTTCATGCAAGATTTCAGTATCTACTTTTTGTTCAGAATTAAGATTGCTTACATGTTGCATATGGAACTCATTGCCTTAATGCTGAATGTTGCCTGGTATTTGATGAGAGAATTTATGGAATCAATCTTTGTGCTCAAGTTTCATATCCTCCTCCATTTGATTCAAGAGATGTTAATGTAGGGTGCATATCCAATTACACAAGTAGATAGTTGTAGCCTATGTTCTACTACCTGTAAATGCCTTTAGTATGAAACTATGGCCGACAAGGAAGTAGGCACCAGTTCTCATTTGTCTACTCAGATGTTACTGATCAAATGCAAATTTAACCAATATTATATCAGAAAGGTGAAGTTTTGCTGGACAACTTTTTTTTTTTTCATTATTTTCTACTTAGGCTTCGTTTGGGACGGTTTTTTTAGTGCTTCTTAAAGCAGTTTTTTAGTACAAAAAATTAAAAATTTTATACTAAAAAACTGCTTTAAGAATCAGTAAATAAGCCGCCCCAAACAAAACCTTAATATTAAAAGGCATCATCAGGAGAATTCACCATCTGAAGCTTCAAGATCTAAGGATGCTTCTTCAATGACAATAATTTGTGATTGCCAAAGTATTTTTGTTTATCATGTCAGCAACTGAGTTTCCATTTTTTTGGCCCTGCAGTTCTTGCAACAGAAGAGAAGTATAATGAAGCCATGATTAGCACTGCTAATCGTTTAGTTGCTGCCATTGATGGTCTGCCAGATCCAGGCGGTCCTAAGTTCAAAGACAATAAGCGTGAATCCAACTTCAAGAGCAAGGAAGAGACTGAGGAGAAGAGAGGGCAATTCAGCCTAGTTGTTGGAGGCTTGTTGGTTATTGCTTTTGTAGTTCCAATGGCACAATACTATGCTTATGTTTCCAGGAAATAGAGATTTTTGTATCAAGAGTTTAATAAGCAAATGTATGCATCAGAGTTGGAAACTTAGTAGTTTGTTTCCAATTGATTTCTTTTGAGTTAGAAATCATGTTTTATAAAAAATTATTAAGTTTGATAAATTTATCTTTTTTGTTTATTTTTAAGTAGACACCAACATTTATCTTTGATTTCATAAAATTTCTTAATTTGTTAAAATGATGTATCTTGAAATACCAAAATTTGACCACATTTTTATCACTATTCAAATATGACCACTTCATCAAATGTGCTCTTGAAGATCATCAAGATTAAACCATTCTAATCAAGCAAAAACATGTATATTTTCAATTTATAATTATGAGTTCATACCACCAAAATGAACAAGTCATCAAAATTATTAAACAAAAAATCATAATTAATTGGTCACATTTACAACAATTTTTAGCAACTCCATGTAAAATTTTGCAAAGACAATAGTTGTGTTCTTGCCTCTCATATTAAACACAATAATATCAATAGCCTCAAATTGTCAAAAGATTTTCTACATCACATTAGTAGATCTAAATATAATCCAAGCAGTGTAATATCTCTTTATAAGACTAATTAAAGCAGATATCTGCATATATTGCAAGACAACTCAACTAAGTTAATCTCTTTAGGGATTAATGAGTGCAAAAAAATAAATTTAAACTTTGCTTAAATTTTCATCAAACAATAAATGTATTTTGTTCAATCTTATTAGAGATTGTTTTAACAATATTCTAATATTGATAGAAACTTTTTAAGACCTTCATCGAACCACTTTCGAATCATGATTGAAACTTCTTTGACCATTGTTTGAATCCTGTTAGAAAATACAAAGAAGCTTTGAACAATATTCAATCATAAGTAAAAAATGTATATATCAAGGTCAGAACAAATTTAAAGCAATATTCGAAGCTGATAATCTCATGCCTAAAATCCTTCTAGTTTTAACAAGAGATTGAAAAAATTGCAAAATGTATAACATTGCTGAATTTAACGACAATCGCCGGCCTTCCGAAGCCAGAGATAAAAACATAGCCTTAGAACCATTACTCGCGAATAAGAATCATCAGAGAAGGCATGAGAATAGAAATGGCTGAGCAACTCCTTGCTTGCATTGTCGCTTATATTGATCATTTTCTTGATTTCTAAAGGTATTTCAATTTAAATGAGAATTTCAAGTATATTTCCTCAAAAAATGAAACAAATGATATATTTCTTAAATTCCGGGCTATTGGAGGCATAAAATACTAAATTTTCCCTTGTTGAATGACTTGAATCTACAGTTTTGTTTGGGGGGCTTTCTTATTGCTTCTTAAAGCAGCTTTCTAGAACAAAAATTACTAAAAAGCTGCTTTATGAAGCAGTAAGAAAACCGCCCCAAATGAAGCCTAAATATGAGAATATGATGCGATTATAACTATATGGATACTTCTTAAATACAAGAGTAAGACTGAATTAAGGCGCATTTGCTTAAATGCATAGCATTACTCTTCCAGAATTACGATGAGCCAATAAAAGATATTCAAATTATGGCAAGCTATAATAAATAAATATTGTGGTATTTTCATTAACAGAAAAGGCCACTTTTTTCATTAAAAGTATTTGTTACATACCGAGATCATACAGAAACAGAGAAACAGAGAAACAGAAAGAAATGAAGGAGAAGGGATTCCCTTAAAACTTCAACTTGAGAAGAAATGGCATCTTGTCAGAGAATGGCGGATCAGAGTACTTTCCAGTGAGTATTTGTGATGAAACAAATTGGTTTGCTGCATCTGTGTAATGGATTCCATCCCAGTTCACATAATCAGTAGCGTCACTGCAACCTTTTGCTGTAACCGAGCTCCCATCTAATATCTTAGTCTGCCCACAACGAATTCGACTGTCATAGTTCAATGGAGGTCCTCCATATCCGCAGCAAACCGTCACAGGATGCTCAAAACCTGACAGATTATTCAAGGCAGGAGGATCAATTCCTTTCTGGGATGAATTTTGAAAATAAAATAAGCTAGCATGAAAATTTGAATCCAATCAACAAACAACACATTTGTTATCAACAGGGTCTGTTTGGAGAAATTATTCTCTGTAGAGACCGGATGTAGAATGTTGTCCGGAGACCAAATAGAATACGCCACGTCAACGGTATCAAGCCGCTGTACCTAGTGAAGGGGTGACGTGGCGCATTCTGGTTGGCCTCCGGACAGCGTTCGGCTTCCGCACATAATAATTAATTGTCTGTTTGGGATAATTTTCTCATAATTTTTTAGAGAAAATAATCAGTTTTGTTTTACTGCTAGTTTGTTATTACTTTTTAGAAATCTATGTGATGAAAATTAAATTTTTATAATCACATATATTAGTGTGGTAGTGGTAAGAAAATAGTTTTCTGGCTTTTTTAAATAAATAAAAATTCCTACAATAGTTTTAAAAATATATATATTTTTCCTACAACAGTTCTACAACTACTTAATAGCTAGTTACCCCAACCAACCCTTCAGCTCTGTTTGGTTAAAGTTGCTATAGAAAGCTACTGTTGGAAAGCATAACTTCTTCTCTTGTAAAACCAATAATTTTGAAAGAAATTTTTGGGTCTCACATTTTATTATGTAGACAAAAAGCAAACACCCCAATAAAACATAAAAAATCTGCACAGCCACTTTTCCTTAAACAAAGCAGGTAAAAATCACAGGCTAATAGATCCCTAGTCAGTTTGTTTTATTTTTAGTTCTAGAGGGCAGGCCCAGAACATGGCTAGATTGTATCCGTTGAGCTTGAAAAGATGAACAACTTCTCAGTGAAAACAACCGGATCACCCATCGAAGGGAATTTCATGAAAAGCCAATTTATTTGATTTTTAATTCAAAGGCATAAACAGATATAATAAAATATAACAGAAATGCTTACCATATCGAGAATAATTTGCAATGAGATCAGATTTGATTGTGAAGATGTCAATATAAGTGACATTTGCATCTACAAACTGGGCTTGTAACTTCGTACAGAGGGCATGAAGCTGCAAATTGAAGAGTTTGGCAGCACGGTTGTGAGAACTCACACATCCATATTCATCCAGCTTTGACGGATCTTTGCCAAATTGTGCAACGTTTTGAGCTAAGCATCCAAGGGGACCAGTGTTATGAATCCAAAAATTCCTTGCACCTTGGTCATACAATTTCTGAAAAATAAAATTTAAAGAACTTCAGCACAAGAAACTAAAAATAATTTCATCACACTCTGCTTGATAAGTTAAATATAACGATCAAAATAACCAAATGGGATACAAAATAAATTCCAGACAACAAAAACACCCATAAAAGTTATTTTTGGCTTTTCAAATGCTGAGTACATTCAAGAAAGATTTATTAGCTTGAAAATGGTAGTTAAATTCAGATCAATTCTAAGAGGTCAGGTTAAGCAAAAGATGCTTTTTGAGGAAAAGATTGTATTTTATCAAAAAATGGAGAAATCGTCGAGGAGACTAGTAGGGAAATAACAAACCTTTACCCCAGTCTCAAATTCCAACAAAATAGTTGGAATCGAGGCAATAATTTGGTCCTCTGATTTGGAATAAAAAGCACCAGCAAGGTCATTTTGGCCTATGTCAAACATATAAAGTCCTCGACTGAAGAAATCTGCAGGAGGGATGTATTTCTTAAATTTGTTCCCTGCAAAATAGTAGAATAAAGCTATCAGTGTTGAGTGATTCTCCACAAAGTCTCAGGTTGAAGTAAGAAAAAAAAAAGATAATTGTGCATATAATTGTTAGTGAAAAGCATAGTTAACATGTAAATAATCCTCAGGTCATTTTTTAAACTGGGATTAATGGTTTTCACGTGTGTTTGCACCACTTCAAACTTGAGATCCTTTGTTGAGATAGACAAACGAGTGCAGAATTAATTCATATCGGAAGTAAAATAAAAATTACTAATATGCTACTGTGGTCCTTAGGCCTTACCCATTTGATTAAGCCTAGGACATTGGTGTTTCACCCTCCTAAATTTTTTTTGGGTTAATACATGGAAAACATATATGAAACATTTATGAAAATTGTTTTTTTATGTAGGTCTGCAAGTCAATAATATCTCTACTATTGTCCTCTGCTACCCCATTAACTAGAACCATATTAAAAAAAATTATATGGTGTTATCCATCAAAGAACATCACTCATAACCTCGCAAAGATGATTTAGTTAACTTTCCCCGAGCTACAATCCTGCTTTTACTACTGCTCCCTGTTGTCATAATAACAATATCAGCTAGTAAAGGTTCATTTTAATAACAACCTTTAAATCTCCAGCGCACTTTGCATATATAACGTTCCTCCAGAAGAAATTCCTTGGTGTATTACGTATTTGATATTATAGGGCATTTGTGCTTGTTCATGATACTGACATCGACAAGAGCATCATCACTACCTAAATGATACGGACATCAAGTAGAGCATCACCACTACCTACATCATTCCTCTGGCATTGTTGCACTCTTCTAATTTGATCATCTTAATCAATCATTTCCTTTAATCTCCAATATAGAGTTTAGAGGCTTAAATCCTAGCAAAATATAAATAATAAATAACATCTTAATAAATTAGTGCTATATCCATCCTCATTAGTTCCTTCAAGCGGGCACCAAAAATTCATGCACAACTCTTCTAAAAATTTATTTGGGATGAAATTTTCAAAATATAGATTTAATTTGCAAATAACACATGACTAAGATATTTCACTCTCATTTCGCTAGGGCTATATGATATGGTTCCAAGTTTCCCATTGGTGCAAGCCTAATAGTTAATTACTCCTAGTGACGAGAAAATTTTCGATTAAAGTTAGCCGTTAGATAGATGCTAAGTGTTTAGCAAGTAGTAACAACAATTTAGTGTTAGGATAGTGAAAATTTATCGTCATTAGCTAAAAGCATATGATTGGGGATGATGATTAACCTGATCAAAATCTCATTGTTCCATCTTCTCGGATTGTCATGGATCATGGCCTGCTTAGCCAAAAACACAATCGACTCAAAGTGAAAAAAAATCATGGTCGGCAGTCATGTGTTGTGTCATCTATGGGGACTTTGTAGACTCGGGTGATTGTTTATCTAAGAGGATAAATTTAAGTCAACCATAGCTAACTGAGGGTTTCGTGCACTATCATGTGCATTACATGATTCACAACTAAATGGTTATGGAACTTTAGGGCTATGACAATAACTTAGTGATATCATTTTGCAGTGAAACAATCCAATCAAAGGGATCAAATCATAATTATTTACATATGGTGTCATTTGGTAGGAAAAATCATTAGTTAAAGACATGCACGACACCCTTATTGACATGAGATCTTTTAACAGTGAGTATAGTGATACACTTGATACTAACTTTTTGTGAGCTGAGGTTAAAAGTTTCTCACTCAACAAATTATTTCGAATTATGGATGAATGATCAGATTTTAGCCTTGGGGCGGTAGATTTTTTGCTTGATTGTATTCTATATTTTTACACTATTATTATTTATTATTTTTTAGTATGATTTTTTAGATTTTTTACATTTTTTCAAGAAGTTTAGCTCCAAATGATTTAGTTTGAGGTTTGGGGGTATTTTGAAAATAGTGTCCCTCTCCATTTGAAATATGCTTTCAACACGACCGTCATCGTGATTCAGAACTATTTGAATCATTTATATTTAGAATGAGAGCTCAATTTGTTAAAAAGCGAACCCCTTTGGTCATGATGTATGAGGACTACGCCCATCATTAGTATTTGATAATTGCACTTTGTTATTTTCCTTAATAACCCCCAATCCAACATCAGTAATATTGAAATGGCTTAACTCATGGATCTCCCCACACATCTAGATAAGGCATCAGATGCCTTATTCTCTAGCCTTGGCCTATACTGGATCTCGAAATCATATCCCAACAACTTTGACAGTTATCCATGATGCTTCTCGATCACCATTCTTTGCTCTAACAAGTACTTCAAGCTCCGCTGGTCAGTCATGACGATGAAATGCTAATCCAACAAGTGAGGCCGCCACTTCTGAATAGCCAATATAATGGCCATCCCCTCTCATAGAATGACTTCAATTTAACTCTGTCTGTCAACACTTGGATGAAGTAAGCTACGGGTCTGTGATTTTGCATAAACACTACTCCCAATCCATATCCTGAGGCATTAGTCTCCACTACGAACATCTAGCTAAAATCAGGTAAGGCTAGGACTGGGACCGTGGTCATGGTAGTCTTCAATCTCTCAAAGATCTGAGTAGTTGCCTCTCCCCACAAGAAGTTGTCCTTCTTCAGCTGCTATGTCAGAGGCCAAGAAATGGTGTTGTATCTCCTCATGAATCTCCTATAGTACCATATTAATCTTAAAAAATCTCTTAGCTCCCTCATATTCCTAAGTAGGGGTCATTTCAGCATTGCCTCAATCTTGGCATGACCAATGGCCAATCCTTTATGGGATACCACGTGCCCCAAGTACTCCATACTAGCCTGTGCAAAACAATATTTCTTTAGATTGGCCCTCAGCTACTGCTCATGCAAAACCTTTAAAATCGCCCTTAGATGCTCCTAACTAGACTTACTATACACCAGGAAGTCATAAAAAACCTTAACAAACTTCTTGAGTTAAGGTCAAAACATCTTATTCATGAGAGACTGAAAGGTAGCAGAGGCATTGGCGAGACCAAAAGAAATCACTAAGAACTCATAGTGTCCCTCATATGTCTTGAAAGCTATCTTCGGAACATCCTCCTCTCTCATCCGGATCTGATGGTACCCGGACTTTAAATCTACCTTCGTGAATACCTCCGTTCCATAGATCTCATCTAGCAGCTCATTTATCACGGGAATATGAAACTTGTCTGACACAATCTCCTTATTTAGGGCCTGATAGTCCACACAAAATCTCTAACTTACATCATTCTTCTTAACCACTAGAATTGGGCTAGAAAAAGGGCTCACACTCAATCTGATGATCCCAGCCTCCAACATCTCCCGGATCAGCTTCTCAATCTCATCATTCTGAATTTGAGGGTAGCGATAAGGCCTGACACTGATCGGTGATACTCCCTTCCTCAGTGTAATGGCGTTCTTCTGTCCTCTCTATGTTAACAACCCCTAGGGTGGTTGAAAAATCTCACTAAACTGCTATATAACCAGCTGGAATGAAAGAGGAATGTTCCCCCCTTTCTCCCCTCGAATCCCCTCAAAATTTTGTAGCTCCATTGTTAGCATCCCCCAATTCACCTTGGTATCCCCCAAGGTCTGCAGAAATCTCATCCCCAGGATAACATCAATGCTCCCTAGCTCCAATGGAAGAAAATTTGAAATTTCAGAAATTGATAGAACTTTGTCTAAAATTTGAAATTTCAGCAAGATTAAACAGAAATCGAGAGAAATGTGATGGAAAAATACTAGGGAAATTTGATAATTGATAAAAAGAGGGAAGAAAACATATAAGATACAATGGATCTTCAATTCGATAGGAAGACCCAGCTCTCATATTCCCTAGCCGGTGGCTAAAGCCCAAACAAATACTAAGAGAAATACAAATTCAACAAAACATCACATAACTCTAACCCTAGGAAGAAAATAACTATTAAAAGCAAAGAACACAAAGTAAAAGTCCAAACAACCCCTCAAATTCAATTTTCCTGCTAACCCGCCCCTCTTTATCTTTTCCTCAATGCATGGACTCCACCCAAGGGAGCGGGCTAGGCCTGAGCGGAACAAGACTTTTTCCTAGTTTAGACCTAGGCCGATCCCTCCTGGATCAGCCGGAACGGCCCCAAATGGGCCGATATAATAGTTTGCACAATTCTTGTCCACTCCATTCCTTGAGAGGAGGGTCCAACTTAAAATTTTTAGATGATTGCAAGATTATTTTTAGGATAAAGGCTTGATATTGTTGTTGTTGTTGTTGCAAGATTATTTTTAGGATGGTTGCATGCTTCTCGGAGTGAGATATGTTTGGATTTGATTTATTTTTTATCAGCACAACAATCTCAAACTTTAAGATTCAAGTGTTTAATATATTTATCGGATCAAATGCATACATTTTGATTTTAATGCTAGTGCACATTTTTTAATGCACATGCATAACACACTTGCATATTTTTTAGTATATTTGTATAGCGCATTTGCACATTTTTTATGTACTTACACACTTGCATAATTTCATTGTGTTTCATAGTGCACTTGCACGCTTCTTGATGCATTTACATGATTCACTAGCATGTTTCTTAGTGCATTTGTAGTTTGAGATTTCACATTTTTTCATGCATTTTTGCATCATATTTACAATATCCACTTGCATGTGTAAACATGATACATCTGCATGCTTTTAAAACAATGGCATGCCTCTCATAATAGTTACAAGCTTCCCAAGTCAATTGTGTGCATCTCGATTTGATTGCACACTTTTTCCGAGGTATTGTATTTGAATTAAAGAGTGCCTAGAAAAGCTACTACAACACTTAGAATTTTTCAAATATGATTGTTTGCACAAATATTTTGTCATAAAATGCACACAAATTTTTTTTTTGAAGAGATGTATTATGCCCGCTTGTATGAATGTTATGAATCTATTGGCGATTGTTACAAGTTCAAATCGTATTACACATACGTCAAAATTTTGTAATTGTCTTGTGTATGGGTAAATCTTGCATTTTGCTTTTCTGCAGTGTCCTTCCCAACAACTTTTGACATTTCAGATGCATCGGCGTAATCTACATTTCGAAATGAGCAAAGATTGCACGACTTTGTTGTGGTCATTGTGTTCCTGTTGGAAATAAACCCGCAACAAAAACAAACAAGAAAAATAAAAGAAGCAAAAAAAAAGAACACCAGGATGTAATGTGGAAAAACTCAAAAAAAAAAAAATCACGGAGCCACACTATACTAAGAAATCCATTATGAAAAATTGTACATATCTCACTTCTCACACACTCTCCTTGTCTATCTTCATTTTACTCTTTGTTTTACACACAGAACTTACAAAGAGACACTAACACTCCAAGGGATGCAACTTTTTTAAGTTAAACATAAAAAACGAGAAAGAAATTGCTCAGCCAAACTCACAATGCCACGATGATAGTTCTGGAGAGCCACAACGCTCTACTCTCTGTCTCCAAGTTAAGACCGCAACACTACTACATTTCTTTCAACTGAACCACAGCACTATAGTGTACAATGCGGTGATTTTGTACTATTGTACATAAACAAAAAAATCTTCCTCTGGAGCTTCGCCCTACGCTACCCACCAACGATCTCCTCGTCAAGCTCAACTAACAGAATTGAGGTATGAGTCAACAATATAACCCAATTGATTGGCACAATCAGATTCCACACAAAACTAATAATTTTGAATCAAATTTATGCAATAAAGTGTCCATTATTCCTCGTATTTATTAGATATTGATTAAATCAACCATGAGGACCCTTTCTTGGTAATTTTGACATGCGAACACATCGACATAGCTCATTTTGCCAACGAGCGGCATTCAAGTATTTTTGCACAAGGCTACATCCACAATCCATCATTTTTTCATTATGTGGCTACTTGGCGATACGAGAGGTCCTTTCTAGGCATTTCTAGCATCTTGGATGCGTCCACATAATCCATTTAGCGAAATGAACAATGATTATACCTTTATTCCAAAGTGTTGCGTCCGCCTTTCATTCCATTAAATTTCTATTTGGTGATGTGTGGGTTCCAGTCTAGGCAATCTCAAAGCTTCAGAAGTGTTGGTCGAGTCTCTCTTGCCAAGCGATTGCCCACTTGAGGGTTTTGATTGTGATCATGATCTTCAATTAATTTTTAGCAACGTTATGTATAACAACCATTATTGATGCCAATATCAATTCGGTTTGGTTTCTTTAGTTGTGATCATACACGTAGGTCAACACTTCAAAAGAATTCTGCCTAAAAATTCTAGAAAGCCATGTTCCTCCCTTATGAAGGAGTAATGCATTAAGGGTCATTGCCTTATGGAATATCTAACCATCCATCCTGGTTAGCAATCATGCAATCCATGCATTTCTTCAAATTGAATTTAACAAATTGTTTTACTTGAAATAGTTCAAATGGCATCTAGTTGTCATCCTCTATAATAGCTGACTATGTTATTTTTTCAACACTAGTCTTCAGCACCTCATAAAACATGTTTATAACTTCTAATATAGTAATATTGCTTCATAAGTACTTGATAGACCTTTTCGAGATTGCCTCATGGACCTCTTATAAAAGAATGTTACGAAAAAATGCTACATAGTAAAGTGATCTAGCAGGTTTAGTAACTTTCCAGCGTACAGAATCTGAAAAAAATATTCTTTTCATAGCTTTGGATCTAGATTATGTCGAAAAAATATTTAAGGCTTAACTGACCGCTTATGCCATTTCCAACAAGGGAAGATTTAAACGAAGTATCAAAGACCAAGGCCGTGAAAGCAGATACTTAAATATACAATAATCAAATCAACAATTATCCGAAAATGCGATTCCATGAGGATGCTAAGGCTTAAGGGGGACCATTATAGGCATACCTTTGGTTAGTAGTTCAGTGACTCGTAGTTTGAAGTGAAAATATTGAGCAACCTGTATACCAAAGGAAAATGGGCAGACTGATGTAGCTGTTGCAGGAAGTATTGTAGACCCAGCAGCAGCAAAGTTGCAGCCTTTAAGGAAACTTGGTGCACCAACTGATTCCAAATAGGAATTGGAAAAAGGTAGGTCCATTGCATTCACTGCAGCATAATTAAATTAATGGCGTGTCAAATGAAAGAAACCCGACAATAATTTCCTACTTAGAATACAAAAAGCTGGAGTTTGTAGTATAGAGATATCAAAGAAAGAACCATAATCATTAGCTTGATTTTGTCTTACTCTAAACAAATGCATGGGAATCATTCTTTCAACCTCAGCTGCATTCTACAAGACTTTAACTATCTGGGGAAAACTCAAATGTGCACCAGGAACAAATGAGACTACCCATTATTGCAAGCAAATTGTTCTCAATCCTTTTCTAGAAATTTAATAGTGATCAAAATCCCATGCTCATATCAAATTAAACATTCAAGACACTTAAAAGTTCCTAAAATTTAACTTTAAATTGCATTTGACTTCTGTAAAACTAGAACATTTAGAGTAATATTTTTTTAGGTTACATTATCTTGCCAATAACAAAATGAGATTGATTTGATGCAATTTCCAAGATCAACATTTTTTGAATGATATTAATAAGCCAAGTTGTGTTAATATGGATAGTGGCCAAGTCAAATGATAGATAAACTTAATCACTACATGAAAACAAACATTTACTGGTTGATTTCTTTTAAACTGTTCACTAATACTCAATGTCATCTGAACTGCTCCGGTTTTTATAATTCCATTATTTTTCGGACAGAATCCACTAATTACCTCAATAAACTCCTCAGTACAATCACTTCTCCATTTCTAATTTTTAGAGAGCCCTTGTTGACGCATTTTTCCATGTTGACTTGACTCAAATCGAGTCGATCGGGTCGGGTCCAATTGAACCTGATCAATTCAAATCAGCCCCGCCTAAACCCAATTCGACTCAAATCGGCGACAATTCGAGTTCAATTTAATCAAATCAATCTGAATCGAGTTTGATTCGGGCTCAATTCAAGACCAATTGGTTCAAAATCAACCCAATTGACTTTCTAAATCAATTCAAATCTTTCCCCAAATCAAGAAATTCATCCAACGACTGAAATTCCTTGAAAATCCAAGTCGTAGCCACTATTTAGTGTCCAGTGATCTCATTTCGGAGCGGGAGCAGATTTGAGCGGCTTTGGCAGGGATCGGGTAGCAGAGACCCATTTCGTGTATAGAGGGAGTGGGAGAGAGGCTTGGCATTCGGATTTTTCCAGACCTTGCGAGGATTCTTCCTTCGAGCGGCTTGCTCAGACGAGAGAGCAGGAGAGGGTTTCTAGGGATCAGTCTTTTGTTTCCTACGTACACGAGCGAATAAGAGAGAGGAAGAGAGTCTTCTACAGTTCTACTTCTTGCATGCATCCACACAGCCAAGAGTGAGAAGAGCATGAGCAGGTCATCTCGATACGTGCTTGCCTGTGCCAAGTCGAGCGAAAGGGACAGATGCAGAAGCCCCTGTATGCATGCACCAGGGAAAGATCGAGAAGGAGGCTTGCGTGCGGCTTCCATGTGTGGTCCGTCTAGATCGAAGGAGCGAAGGAGACCTCTTGCGTGCGGCTTCATGGGTGTCTGTGAGTGGATCGGGCAGCAAATTGTCGCCTAGGAGTGGTTTCGTGCGTCTAAAGTGCGTAGAGCGGTGGCAAGACTTCTACGTGCAATTTTCTGTTGTTGTTACTACTCTTCCAAATAGAACAATAAAGGGTTGTTGTTCTTCTCTCTGTCAAGTGAAAATAAGTGAAGCGGAGGGGTGTGAAGGCTTTTAGAAGGTAAAGACTAGCTGTAGGAACATTTTCTTTCTCTCATATTGATTTTGGCGAGCTCGTGACAACAAAAGTACCTCCTGGAGTGACTCAGACAGTAGCTCGTCATCCCTTTTCTCACTGTTGCAAGGCGAGAGCAGATCGATAAGCGTGTGACTCGACTCGGCAAGGTAAAATCTCCCAAACATAGCAAAACCTAGGTCTATCGGCCATTAGATCCGTGTATGACGCTCCCCAAGCCTTAGGTCCTTGGAAAACCTTGCATTTTAATTTCCAAATCCAAGAAAAATCTAATATCAGCTGTCCACTCCACAAACCCGTGAAAATCCAGTGATTTTCACGGGTTGCTTTCATGTGAGAGCCCGTAGGGGACTCCGATGCCTGTAGGGTTGTTGGATCAGTGTTCAAAACTCTCCAAATGCATGTATTAGCAATCTTGTTGTTTCCCTAGCTATCGCCTATGACCAAACCGTAGGCTAGGATTATCATTTGATTTTAAATCAAATGTCCGTCTGTAGGTTTCACATGTGTAAGTGGCATGCTATATTTTCTTTTCCTAAAATCGTGTGTAATGACAAAATTGATATAGAATTTATGAGTTTGCACTTGCTAAAATTTGTGGATTTCTTTATAACTAGGTTAGATGTTCAAAATGCATTTGATAACTTGTTGTAGGATTTTATATGAACTACTAAAGGTTCATTTTGCTAATCTTAGAGCGAATAAATTATCAAATTCAATTTGGGTGTTTTGCAAAGTTTGTAACGGTCACAATGAATAACCGCTTGTTCTAATTTACAAGATACCGAAAATTGGAACTCACCTCCATGCTTTCAAAGAACCAAATCATGCCAAAATTTATTGGAATTTTCTCTAAGCCTTTGATGTGTGTATCCTATATTAACTTGAATCAAAATACATGCATGTTGTAGGTCATTTACTAACATGTTGTTTACCTAAAATTTGTAAATTTACAAGTATGCTCATTTAATTTCTAAGTGCATGTAAAGCAAAGGTGAAGTATTCCATGGATTTCAAAGGCCTATGGATCATACCCCACCATACACGGAATTACCTAAGCATGATTAGTGCAATTTGCAAGTCAAAAGGTTGAGTTCAATGACAAGTAATTTAAGCATTTAGTAATCTCCTAAAGTGATAAACCATCTCATGCATACTCCTAGGTTCCTCTTAGATCATGACAAAATTGATCTTTAAGATTCATTTAGAGGCATTCAAAATATCATTCTTGTTTAAAATTAATCTAAAACATTCAAAAATAAATTAGAAGCACTCTTTCAAAATGCATTTCTCTCCCATGTATGATATTTGGAGCTTCCCCAAGGCTCCAAATGTTCTATTACATGAATCATCGAACCTTAGGGCCAAATCCTAAGTCTCTTCCTTCATTTGTTGAGACACAAAATTAACAAATGAACTTTTCTCCTCTCTCATGTATGGTTACTTGAAGTTTCTCAAGACTTCAAACATATCATTACATGAACCCTATGCTCTTAAGACTTAAATCCTATTCTCCTCCATTTACTTAGCCTAAACCAAGTGAATGGTCATTTCTCTTTGAACACCAAATGTTCAAAGAAGCTCCTTCAAATTGCAACCTCTAAGTTGCATTTTCCTCTCCATTTTCTACAAGCCAAAATTATTAGGAAATTTCCCCACTTTCCTTAGCCTAAAAGCCATAGGAAATCCTCCAACATCCTTGCTCGGTGCCTTTCCAAAACTCATATAAAAGCCAACAAATGACTTTTGGAGACTTTAGGAGAGCATTACTAAATCATAAGAATGAAAATGCTATCTTCATTTCACCCTTCCAACCCAAGTTGGAAGAGTGGACTCCTCTCTTTGAATACCTAGTAGTTCAAAGAAAATCCATTGTGACTTGTAGCCCAAATCTACATGTCACCATTTCATATTTGCCTAACCGAAACTAGGCAAAGAATCATTCAACATTGAATATATAATTAAATTATTGCTTCATGATTGTAGCTCCAAAGTTACAAGTCATTTCTCTTCTATGGGCTCCAAAAAAAAGCCTTAGAAAATTTTCAACCTTAGACCCAAAAATGTTAAGTAGCTTTTCACTTAATCAAAATAAGTGTTTTCTCCTCCTATGACATTTAAAATATACCGTTTGGATGTCCTATAGGAACTTCTATCTGTTGAAATCCACCTTACCCAATTAGGTGAATTTTACAAAGTCCTAAGTCGAACCCTTAGACATGTCTACCTTATAGTATTAAGTGGACACTTCTCTCTCAAAAAAAAAAAAAAAAAGGGGAAACTTCCCCCCAAAAAAAAAAAAAAAAAGTGGATACTTCTCTCTTATCCAAACACTAAGAGAACCTTAAAATCCTTAATAATCACTTAGGTTTTTTTGATATAATGATTAGTCATTCCACGAAAAGGTGGAATGCCTGCATCATTGGATCTAAGGATTCTATAGGTAGCGGGCTTGCCTCAAAGAAAGCAGCGGCCGCTTTATGGGTTCTTCATACAACAACAATATCAAGCCTTTGTCCCACTATGTGGGGTCAGCTATATGAATACTTTTTCGTCATTGTGTCCTGTTAAAAGTCAAATTCTCATTCAAATCTAATAAAGAAAGATAATTTCTAATATTTTCTAACCAAATCTTTTTAGGTCTACCTCTACCATTTCTTAACAAAGTGAAATCTAATACCTCAACTTTCCTAATCAGGTCATTAGAAGGCCTCCGTTTAATGTGACCAAACCATCTAAGACTTCTAAATATGAAACAAACAAAAATTAAATAAAAAACTTTAAGTCGCAAACAACAAAAATCTACCCAGCCAAACTCCCCTCTTCCTCTCCACTACAACAGCCATCTCCCTCAGCCCACATACCTTTCTCCGTTCATTCAGTCTCACAGCCCAAAGACCGAACCGAACAACCAGCTGATCTCCTACTTGTCGTGACCTACTCTACCCGAATCCTTGCCCAAGCAACTGCTCTCACGCCTCCTCCTCACAACCAAACAACCTCCAAACGAACTCCCATCTTCCTACTGCCTCTTCTCCACAACAACCAACACCTACACACCCAAACAACAAACATCCCAGCTCCATATCTCTGTACCGCACTTCCTCAGCCAACAACAAACAAGCTCCCTCACGTTTCCATTCTCAACCATCTACCCGATAACCTGCATATAAACCTCTTCTCTTCCACGAACAACTGACATCTCCTTCACCACACCCACATATTTTTCCTTGACCCAACAAATCCCACTTCAATTCCTATCCCACCTACAGCCAACTACTTTTCTTCTCCCTTCCAACAAGCCCAACATTCAAAAGCTCCTCTCCCAAGCTAATTACCCAATGCTCAAATCTCAGCCCACTTCCAAAAAGCCTACCTCTACTTCCAAAGCCTATGAACTCATATGTACACTCCTCCTGCATCCACCTCAACTGCAACCAACCCACGTCCAAAGCCTACAAACTCTTCTACTGCACCTCCAGTTACACTCACCAGCCCACATCATACAACCGAAAACAGCCAACCTACAGCCCACTATCAACCATCACTCGCAGCCCATTTCTCCTCACCTGCATACCTCAACATCAGCCCACTTATAAAGCCCAACATCCCTCTCACACCCAAATCCAACCCAAAACAACCCTTCTACAGCAAAAACCTACTCTACCTATACTCCCACATCCACTCACCTATCTCACTTCCAAAGAACCCCCTCATTTTCTCTAACAGAAAGAAGCTTACTATCACTATCTCTCTACCTTAATCCCTCTCTCTCTCTCTATTATTAGTTTGGTATTATTGCTATTAAAAAATAAAAGATAAGAGAGAGAGAGAGAGAAGAGAGATTTGTGTGTTTTAATCCCTCGTCGTCGCTTTGCACTTGCTAAGGTATAACTCCCCTAAACTCAAAAAGCCCCCAAATTCCATTTTCGGCACTTACGACGCAACGAGCGGACACCCATGCGTGCTTTTCTTAGCATGGTGGGAGGAAGCTCAGTGCGACACTTGAGGCAAGGCAGGTAAGCCTTGTGCGCGCTTTTCTTAGCATGGAGAGAAAATTTAAGTACCCGTACAAGCTTTCAGGCAGGCTGGAAAATTTGTAAATGCTTCGTGCAGGTACCCTTGCAACCCATACAAGTCTTTCTTGACATTTTGGGATAGAAGACCATGGTCGCGATGTCGCCCGGGAGCATTGTCAATCTTATTTGCAAGAAAAACAAATTTGTCACTACAAATCATATCATTTTGATGAGGTTTTGCTAATGGATATAGTTTTTCCCTAAGCTTAGATTTCTAAAACAATCCAATTACGGAAGAAAAACCTATCGAAAAGGGACTATATTATGTAATGAATCATGATAAAAAATTGAAAAATATAAAATCATAATCAATATATCTATGAATAATAAAAATCATATCTAATCAAGCACAACTTTTGATAAAAAAACATGTAACTGATGTTGGGGATGATGAGTAAACACCACAATAACTAAACAAGCGAGAAAGTAAAAGCAACGAAAAAATAAAGGACACCAGGATTTAACGTAGAAATACCCAAAATGGAAAAAAATCATGAAGTCACACCACACCAAGAAATCCACTATGAAAATGGGAAGAAATAAGTACATATCCCTCTTCTCTCTCACTTTCTCATTGCTTCGCTTCTCGCATGCACCATTCTCAATTCTACATATTCAAAATATAAGAGAAAGCCAAATAAAATAACCCCAATGGATGCAACCCTTAAGAAAAACTATAAAGAAAATCTTCTAGTCCATCTCGCAGCGTTGCGGCACCAGTTTGGGGCAATGTGGCGCTCAAACCTATATCTTGCACCGTTGCAGTGTCGTTTCTATAATGCTACGACGCTCTGCTCTCTGTCATTCAGATATATGATGCTTGGGTACGCAACATCAGGTCGTATGGAAAAAAATTTTCAAGTCCGAAGCAACCGAACCCAAACAGGGGGGGGGGGGTAAACCCCCGCACCCCCCAGCGAACACAACAAGCTTTGAGGTCTGAGACAACAGAACAACCAAATTGATTAACACAATCAGATTCTACACATAACATTTCAGGCAACTCAAAAGAATGGGTCAATGTCTAATTAACTTGGATTTGGTTGAATCATTAACCAAATAGACTCTAAATCACTGCGCCTCAAACATTCCACTATTTCACACAATTGTATTTAAAAATTTTTCTCAACCAGAGAAATTGATTCATATAAAAATTATTTTATATATCCATTAATTCTTTCAAATTGGGAAAACATCATAAAATTATTCCTTCCAATATGATAATGGAAACTTTGATCCATTATGACCAATGCACTTGCAACATCATCACTGTCTGTGATGTGTTATGTTTAAATCTATGAAACGAGACATCACCAAAAGCACTTGCTATTACTAATTCATAAGATCACACGGTACTAGGCAAGTTAAGAGGGCATTATACAATTAAATTTTGATCATGAAATGATTCAATTTGTATTGTCTATTATTGGCAACAGACAAAAAATTCCAAATGAGGACTAAAATAGCCTCCATAACAAGAGGTAAAGCTCATTTTTACGCCATTTGATAATATTTCTCAAAATTTTAGGCTTTCAAGAAATTTTTTCAAAACTAAAAGAACTTATTGCACTCCCATTAATGATTGACTTGCTGGCCATGATACCAACATTAGACACATTGCTCAAGGACACCAAACAACAACAATTGTGTTGCTGATCATACTTCATAATTATTCATCAAGGACCATCTAACTCATTACAATGACAGGGTCAAATAGGTCATTTATGGATGGCTCTCGACAATAATTGTATCCTCTATCATGTTCCCTATCAATGACGCTCGTTACATTCTCATTGATGGTCATCCTAATAGGAGCATAATATAAGCTTCCCATATACACCTATTGATAATGATCACATTATTTGTCCCGTTGCCTATAGTAGACAGGAACACTCTTTATGTTATTCTAGGTTATCCTGCACATTATAATAATAACATCAAACATGCAGCCCACGAATGTTTACTGACAACAATAATATCACTTGTCACACTCCCTACCAACAGATGGTTTGGTTATATAAAACGGCAGCCTTCCAATGACCCAGTTAGGAAAGTAGATGTATTAGATTTGACTTATGTTAAGAAAGATAGAGGTAAACCTAAAAAGATTTGGTTATAAAATATTAGAAATGACCTTTTTTTATGAAATTTAAATGTGAATTTAACTCTTAATATGATAGACAAAGGATTCATGTAGCCGACCACACATAGTGGGATAAAGGCTTGATGTTGTTGTCGTTGCACTCCCTACCAACAAATTCCATGCTCTACATAACAATTGCCAACATATAATGGGCATGTCACTCGCTGCAATTAATGGAAGGGCATATGACATTGAAGATCACAACAAGCAACACATCGCAAATCATGCTAATGCTATTGGGAGACACAGGCTTTTTGACTGTACAAAGATGTCTTTAACCCTGTTATTACTCAGTTCCTCCGAATTTGCAAACAACATACATGGTGGCTAACCTAGGTCTCAATAACAACAGCTTTTTTAATTTTTTCAAAACACCATTTGTATTGAAGTTCCTCCAGCTACACTTAGAGGCGAATCATTCATATGCACATTTCAACATGTATCGAATCAACCAGTTACTCATAGATTTTTCTTCTTTGAAAGATTTCCATATGAAAATATGCTTTCCTTTACTTGTGTGTTTTTTAATTTATGAGCTAAAGCAACATGAAAGTCACACAATCTTATGGTTTGAACATTTTTGTTACACAAAAATGTTGATTATTCTGCATGGCTCTTCCTTCTTATGAGATCGCAATGAACACGTTGTATTTACCGGGCCAATGCCACTATCAATTGTAAGAAAAAAATGTGTATTTTAATATAATTTGTATAAAATCATTAAATTTATTTTGAGAAATAGTGTTATATATAAAGAATTTATATTGCAGTAATTGCAAAGTAAATTCAACGACTCTTAATATTATCTTGATTTAAACTATATCATAATATCCTGAAAATTGTATTCCTATCAATTAAGGAGGTAGTATTGTTATATAACATTGAACAAGAAACCAAGAGTTACTCGAAACCCTCGTCTAAAAGATAAGCCATAATCTTTCCCTCCAGCTTCGGACATTGTTCAGGGAGAAAAAAAAAAGTTTAAGGGAAAACAAAATAAGTTTATTCTGCAATCAAGCTAGCCATAACTGCGCTTTAAGAAAAAAAAAAGAGAAATTTTCTAAAATCACAAAGGCCAAGTTGAGACTCACTGAGAAAGTCTATGATGAGACGGCCATCGCAAAACCTCCCGGCTGGCCGTCGGAAGTACGTCTGTCCATATGGAGGATCAAGGATATCTCCAATGCCAGCGACGAGCCCACCTGTATCCGAATTTGAGTCTCCGAAATTGAAAACGGCTGGGTAGTTGAAATCAACAGCGGAGGCAGAGGCGACGGCCGCAGCGACAGAAATGAAGAGGTAGAGGGTCACGGCGGCGGGAGCTCGAGGAACGGCCATGAATCCTTCTCCCCCGCTTTGTTCATCTCAGCAGCAAGAATGGGGGCGAGTTCATATAAAGTTGCTTGAGTGAAGAAGACGAGGTAGTGGGTGGCGTATTGGGCTCAACCATTCATTATTATTATTATTATTTTGCTAATTTACATTTTACGCCACTCTAGGACTAGGAAGTAGGTCTGTAGAATCTAAGCTTCTTGAGGACGGCTTTTTATAAATTTTAAAGCAGTTTTTCTGCTACAAAATTTTTAATTCAAAATAATAATGTTTTAAAAAATAATTTTAGAAAGTAAATAAAAAAAAAAAACTGTTTCAAATAAAGTTTAAGACTTACTTTACAAATTTCTTACTTTAAAAAATAAATCTGAAATATTGATCATAAACCTAAATTATTGATTTAAATTAATCATTATTTTAAAAGTCAACAAGTATTCATTATAGTTTAAAATGTTAGTCTTCTTTGCATACATGCAAATACTATCTTTTTCCTATGCAATGCAAGTCAATATCATGTATGAAATGCAGAATTGTATAAATACAGAAAAATCTATCAAAATTTGTATATTATGCATTCAATTAAAAAAATCATATCCTTCAATTTAACAGATGAAAATTCAATATGTTATAGTCAAAATGTTCATATTGACGATATCTATCACATACAAAAAGTTATGAGATGAAAATTTTATCAATAAAAAATTATTATCATTTTTCGATAACAAAAATATAAATTTAATCTGAAAAATATAAAAACATAAAATTATTAAAATCAGATAAAAGATAAATATTCTTTACAGCGAGATGAACAAATTTCCTAACTAGCTCAAGAGATAAAAATTACACCGTGACCTCCAAAATATAACTTTTTTCTTCTCTCTTCTCTTTTCCTCTAGAAATCCCTAAGCCATTTCTCTGTTGCCGAAAAAACTAATGGGAATTGATGTTTAATGATTTTTAAGTTAATGGAATTACATATTTAGGATTTAAAATAATAATGTAATATTATTTAATTATTTAATTTAATCATTTGTCAATATAAAATTCATATAAATTCTTTTATGACTTCAAAAATTATAGAAAAATATTTATAAAATAAATCATTTTATTTAAAAAAATATTGATAAAATGATTTGCAAAACGGAGACTTGTCTGTCTCAAAATCTCCACTTGTACCGATAAATATCAATTTCTTAAGGATTTTCATTAGTGCCCAAATTAAAATTATGAAAAAAAAATTATGTAATTAAAGCATTCCAATATCAAAGCTATGACAAAGATTGTTTATGATTTGGACTTATATTGACTCAAACAAAAAATTTAACATAGTAAAAGTACGGACTATTAAAGCTTATATAAATCATCTAAATAATTCAATATCCAGTAAAAGCAATTAAATATCATACACCAATAAAATATTTTATTATATTCATTCACAAAAATAACATTTATAATATCCAGGAGATCACTAACCATCACTAATCTATCAATAACTCATGATTATGAAAGAATAAAAGAAAACATATTTTAAAATCAAAAGAAGAACCAAAAGATTTCGATCATTCTCAGTCCATATAGTCATGACCCCTTCCCTAACATGAAATGAGTAAGACCATACAATACACTTACAAAGTCAAATAGAAAATTCAAAATTCACTAAAGCTTTCAATACAAAATCTAAGGAATCAAGATGCATGCTCATTTCAATCAATAAAATTAGTAGTATTCACTATTATTAGTGCTCAATCATTACTTGTATGATTTAATATGATTAATAACAAAAAATAGAAACATCATGTTGAAAAGTTAGAAACATGAATGACAAGTGCGAGAACATGCAAGTGTTAATATCATCAATGTCAATTTCATTAGTCTTATCTATCTTATCGATTACTTATTCTTATGAAATGACCAAAAATCAATTTTTTCTCTCCTTCCTCTCCCTCTCCCTAGTCACTTTTCGTCCCGAGCAAGCCACAATATTGGGGAAGGAAGTGGTTGCGTGTAACGCTCCAAAATTTTAATTGAAAGAATTATTTTTTTTTATAAATTAGCCCACTCACAATCAATTCCTACAATCATGGTTATAATCAATTCTTTCAATGACTATGCTCTGATACAAATTTATAACACCCCAGAATCTAAATTGAAAGAAGTATTTCTTCTCCCACTTTCTTCTCAAGCAAGCTGATAGTGGGTATATATATGTATATATTGTTAGTGGCTTTGTGCTACAACACTTAGACCCAATGAGCACAACATTGTATGTAGAATCAAGAATTATTGTAAAAATAGAGGCTTCAACACCATAACGGCCATTCTCGTCGCCACTGTGTTCTGGACTGCAATTGCCTAGGTGCCCAAATGTACAAAAATCAACTTTCTCTCTCCTTCCTATCTTCTCACCCTCTCCCTACTCACTTTCCTTACTATGCAAGCCACGATATTGGGGAATGAAGTGGCTGTGTGTAACGCTGCATAATTTAAATTAGAAGAATTATTATTTTTATCAATTAGCCCACTCACAATCAATTCCTACAAGTATGATAATAATCAATTTCTTTCAATAACTATGCTCTGATACAAATTTGTAATGCCCATAATCTAAATTAGAATAATTATTCCTTCTCCTACATTCTTCTCAAGCAAGCCGGTGGTGGGTTTATATATATATATGGGTTCGGCTACATGAATCTTTATCCCATTACGTGGGTTCGGCTACATGAATCTTTTTTCTCCATTGTGTTCTATTAAATGAGAATTTGACTTTTAGATTTAAACAAAAATTTAGATTTTTATTTTAAAATACTTTTTCTTATATTGGGTTGTTACAATCATACTACATGCATAAAAATGACATAAGTTAAACTTTCCTAAAATATAAAATAAACTACCTTACTGATACGTCATCACAAAATTAACTTGATCGGGCACGAATCTCAAGGCAAAAGCTAGTTGGAAACTTCAAAAATTAATTTTGGGAGCACCTGAACTCCGATTTCAGCGAGCTAAAAGTCAAACTGAGCGTCTCGGAAATACGAATCCAATGACACCAAATTCAACCCAATCTGAGCCTAAATGAGTCCGAATCAAGGGTTCAAAGCGCTGTTGGAAGGTTCAAACCGCAATTTGAGTTACCAAACGGTATCAGTTTTTGACGAGCTTATAATCGAATCGAACGGCTCAACGAGACGAATCCAACGAGCCTAAGATCGTCAAATTCCGACATCATTAAGACCTTCAAATGCCTAACAAAACGGTACATGATCAAAGGATTCAATATCGGCCTTCCATTCAAAACACTCCCAATTCGCCCCTGATCTCACGCCTATTTACGGGCTATGTCACTCCAGAAAAACTATAAATAGAGCCCTCATTCTACACCAAAGGGACTGGAGTGAAGAGAAAGAAGAAGAAGAGGAGAAAGAGGAAAAGGAGATTCCTCACCTCCTCGACAACCGCCGGAGCTCTTCCTGCCGCATGAAGACGCCGGAACTCTGTCGGATTTTCGGGAGAATGCCAGAATTCCGCCCAACTTCCATGGGATGCTGAAATTCTTCCCAATTTACAATAGAGTTCCTTCATGACGCCGAAACTCCGCCCAAGTGAAGCCGGAGTTCTCCTCTGCCACCAAAGACGTCAGACTTCTACCCGACGTCGGACCTTCACTCCTCCCCAAGTTTCTACCCGATGCCGGAATTCTACCAGTTATCGGACTTCGCTGGACGTCTATATGAAGATGCATTTCTTTCCATTGCTGGACTTCTACCTTACGCTGTCCTACTGACCTTTGTCGTCAGACTACAGTCCTTCCGACCTTCGTCGCCAGCCGACTACGGTCCTCTTGACTTGCGTCGCCCGCCGACTACAGTCTTTCTGACATTCGTTGCCCGTTGAATACGGTCCTCCTGACTTATGTCGCCTGCCGACTATAGTCTTTCCGACCTCCGTCGCCCGCCGACTACGGTCCTCCTGACTTACGTCACCCGCCGACTACAGTCCTTCGTCGCCAGTTGACTACGGTCCTCCTGACCTACGTCGCACGCCGACTGCAGTCCTTCTAACAAAGCGAATACGTCGATAGCAGCTCTTTGTATTTACATCATGTAATGTACTCCATAAGATGTACATCAAGCTAAGACCTTTCACCAATGAAGGGCCTCATTTGTAATCGACTGCAATACTAGTGGATTCATTCAATTTGGGCTAGGCCCCGTGGTTTTTCCCCCTTTTTTTTAGGGGTTTTCCATGTAAAAATCTTGGTGTCTCATAAATGCTGCTGCGATTGCAATTTTTGACGCGGTTCGGCTCAAAGGCCAGTGCCTTAACGTCGCCGCACACCACCACCAACAACAACAACAACATCAAGCCTTTATCCCACTACGTGGGGTCGGCTACATGAATCCTTTTTCTCCATTGTGTCCTATTAAATGAGAATTTGACTTTTAGATTTAAACAAAAATTTAGATTTTTATTTTAAAATACTTTTTCATATATTGTCTTGTTACAATCATACTACATGCATAATAATGACATAAGTTAAACTTTCCTAAAATATAAAATAAACTATCTTACTATAAGTCTATAACCACCGAGACCTCATATGTGGTTGCCTTGCTATACATTCAAGGAGATTTATAGAATATAAATTCATATGTTTTTTTATCTAATAACCCATATTACTTCAAGCAACCAAGGGAAGCAATTAAACATGCAAATCAAATTTCTCGTTAAGATCAGTAATCTGATGCAAGATGGATCATAATCATATAACTTCATCGTCAGAAGTGAGGTCTCATATAAATTCCAATGAACTTTGTTCTAACTTCTTGAAAAATATGAGCCTTTGTCAGCCCGGCCATGACTTTAGGTACTTCTAGTCATCTCAAATGACATATTTAACTGCCACATTAGGCCAACCAAAGGTCTCCTTTTGTCTTGAGCTTGTGGTACATGAAGACTACTAATCAATAATATTGATCAAATGATACATCTTACATAATTATGCTTTGAGCCATAGGTGTTTAGGTAGTGTTAAATTTATTCTCTTATTAAATAACATAAATAATCAATATTTTGTGAACAAAAATAAGCTCTTAAAAAGCTTATTTAAATGCGAGTAATATAATTTTAATAACTTAAAATAATTCTCATGTTGCCATCTAACCATATGGTTTCAGTGTTCAACTTGCAAAACCATTATGCATTTTCAATGTTTTTTATGTTCATTCTTTTGAACCTTATAACATTTGCATCGCTTTTTTGCAATTTCAATAGATGAAGTAGGTAACTCCTTATTTATATATATAATTGCCCGCTGTTGATCTTCTGAGTCATCCCTCTCTTGATTTATCCCCTCAATGTTATAGGATTGATCCCTTGACCCATCGTCCTCTTTAGCTATACATACAATGACAAGGGTTTAAACTTGACTTCTCCATCTCTCTCCTATTGGAAAAGTTATTATGTCCGAACAAAAAATTAAAAATTCGGACGAATACGAGCAATACTGAGGGCTGTACCGAGCACAATACCGAGCGCCCAAGTGACGTGACGCTTTGTTATGTGTCTGGATGCATTCGGTGTCCGGACACAATAATTACTCCTATTGTGCCTCATTAAAGAATGGATTTATGGCAAACATATTCTCTCTATTTTTTTTCAACCTCCTCCCACCTCTTCTAAGATAGCTTATGTAAAAAAACTCAATATAAAATTGATTAATTAGAGCATTCTATATTTTGAGCTAAACATTATTTAACTATTGTCTAATTTTATTTAATTATTTTCAAATTTATTTGACAATTTTTTTTTTTAAGTTTATAATAATCAGGAGTGTCAATATTGGATACGAGCTGAAAAAACAACTCGAACCCGACCAAAAAATTTCGGGTTCGTGTTGACCCGAACCCGAACCCGAACTGGGTCAGGTTCGGGTTAAGGTTTTCGATTAGTTTGCAAAATCAGATCGGGTTCGGGTTGACCTGAAACCCGATAATGACCCGATGCCCGCCCTGACCAGGCTTGACCAGAGCCGCCCGCATCGCGCAGGAGGCCAATCCCGCGTTTGCTTGTCGCGCGTCGCGTCTCGACTGTCTCAATCTCACGTCGCGTTTGAAATATCGACCTAATTTCTAAGCGAGTTGGGTTCGGGTCCCAAATATCGACCTGTTCCAAAAATGAGTCATGTTGATCCGAATAAGGACGGGTAAGTTCCCGATTCAACCCGAACCTGACCTGTGATCCGAAATTGACACCCCTAATAATAATGATAAAAATCTTCATCCAAAGAGTATATATATATTTTTCTTAAACATGGGAGAAGCAGCTCATCATAATTTGTTGGTTGAGAATTTTGATTTCCAACAAAGAGGTTTTGGGTTTTAGCCAAGTTGCGATTTGTTGGTCCCTGAAAGCAATTCCTCCCCACAATGCCGCTCGAATCCTTTAATTTGCTCTGAAAAAAAGTACGAATTTAATTTAATTGGCCTAAATGTAAAAAAATAAAATAAAAAATCATGCGAGTACTCTCGCACTTCCCATAAAATTTGAAAAATATCCTCACCAAAACAAGTTGAATCATTTTTTTTTGCGACAGTTAGGCCAATCAAAATAAAATCTCACACACACATAGCATACAGAAGAATTGAACCCCTGAGCTTTAAGGTGGTAGCCTAAGCGCGAGAGCTGGGTTCAAGTTGAAGCATAAAAAAAACCTTAACTTTCGGGACAGCTCTCGCACTTCCCGTCGATGACTGCAACATCGCTTCCACTGCTTCTCCAACGGTGGCCAGCTACTACATCTCCTATCACTACCCTTAAACATTTCCAGCGGCTTTCGTGGAAGCATTCGAATTCTAGGGTTCTTCTGATTGCCCCAACAAGCATTTGGACGATTGCGGCTCAGCGGAGGAGGGCTCCTGCTAGATGCTGTTCTTCGGCGGCGAAAGACGGCGATGGGGAAGCTCCCAGTTGGACAGCGTGGATTCCTCGAAGCTTTTCCCTCGAGAGAGTCCTCAAGCTTATCTCAGGCGCCACTTCCAGCCCCATTGGCCAGTTCATAGAATCTCCACGAACTTTTCTCCACTCCATCGATCCCAGAGTAAAAATGGTAGCTTTTCTTGTCTCTTGGCATCGATTTCTCGAACACCTCTAGCCCACCCTATTCCTTTATAGGCGTTTTTTTTTTTAATTTATCGGCTGCTGGCGAAAACCTTTCACAATCACCTGAGGATTTTACCTATCAATAGGTCCATTGGAGAAATGTTTGATCTGAAATATCGACTTGCAACTGAGCAAATTTTGAGTGGAGCTGAGAGGAACAAATTCCCACGTTTCATTCCAAACACGAGCATTGTATTAATGCGTCATTTCTCGACACCTGCTATGATCTGAGTGCTCGGGTTTCGGTGGTTGGTTCAATATCAGGTGGTTGGTTTAGTTTGGCCATGTTAGTGAGTTTTTGGATCGATTTGTTTTAGGTTGTTTTTGGCTCAGGTGGTCATTTTGTCTATGTTAGGTGGGTGGGTGATGCCGTTGTGGTAGTTTTTTCCAGATTCCCTATGGCGGTAGCCGGTAGTTTGGGGGTTTCAACGTAACTGGAGCTGTGTGGGTGATCGAAGGGATATTGAGGCACGCCATGACAAGATTGTTTCTTTAGAGGCATTACTAGATGGGAAAAGAGAGGCAAATAGAAAATAAATTCAAAAAGGTTGACATGATGGGGGACATAAATATTTGATGTGGTGGTGATGAAATTGAGATGAACGATTTGAGTTGTGGATTAGCTGAGGTAACATTATTGTTTGGAGAGAGCCAAGTTATGTGTGGTGTATGAGCGAAGTTATGGGTAGTAGAGGTAATTAAAGATGCAATTCATTGAGTAGTTGGGAGGCGAGCTAAAGAGCTATTCATATTAAGAGAAAGGGTGGAGCGTGGGGGGTGGGCAAACATTTTATGAGCTAGAATGGATGAATGAGATGTGAGAGATATAATTTCAATAATATGATGATGATGTCTTTAGGAGTATCCATTTTGTTCAACTGTGTGTGGACTAGTGAGATTAGAGATGCCATTAGTGGGGAGGAATGTGGCAAGAGTTTGATATTTGCCACTATTATTAGAGAATAAATAATATTTTTGCTATCAATACATTTTTCCGCTAAGTCTTTGATGTTAATGAACACATTTTGAACAAAAGAGTTTTGCTTAAGTGAATAATACCATATGCATTTTATATAATGACCGTAAAAATGACATAATATTTGAAATCACAATAGGATTGTACATATGAGGTCCATATATCTCATAATAATATTTCAAGAGGCTGAGAAGATATAATAGTGGAGGTATAAAAAAAAATGACTTTTATTGCATTGAGAATCCTTAGAATGAAGAGTTGATTATAATGGACAAGATAAATCTGAATTAAATTGTGAAATGAAGTGTTTGATATGCAAAATTGATGGATGACCTGAGTTATGATGCCCTGCAGATGAAGTAGTTTTGACATTGGAAAATGCAACAAATGGATCCGAAAGATTTTCCATTCATACATACCATCTTTAGTTTGCTCAGCCTAAAAAATTGTCCATGCGCGTAGATTCTTTACATGAAAAATAGTAGCTAAGAACTCAATAGGTACATGATTAAATATGTAAAATTGATATAAAAATAATGTTCTTTTTCATGGTAGGTCTAAAAAGGTCATTGTAAAAGAAAAGTTGGCCAGGTAGAAGGTATGTTAGCGGAACTAGTATGGTTTATGGGTAAACTTGTTCCACCTTAAATCATAATATCATCTGGGCCATCATATAGAATGTGAGCTGAGAAATTTTTCAAGTCGGTGGTAATGTGGTGAGAAGCACCATTATCAATAGGCCAGGTGGGAATGGTCAAAGTGTTGTTGGCATCATAGTGGGCACATGACTACCATGGGGTAGGTAGGTGAGACCCATGACTCTGGAAGTCGATGTTGGGTTGGGAGAAAATTATCTGAAATGTGGGGCATCATTTGATTGTTTGACTAGAATTATAGGGGCAAGGAGGCGAATAATCATTGTAGTGAGTATTTGCATAGTACCCGAATGACACTTGTTGGTAGTGGTGGGAGACATCATAGCTTGTTATGAGAGGTGGTTGGGTTGACCATAGCAAGCCGTAGTTGTGAAGGATGTTGTATGCAAAGAAGAAAAAATTTACGGCTGAGCAAGTTTTTATGATGCGCAACAAAGGTGATAGGAGTTTTATGAGCATCAACTTCATTAATTATAGGCTTGCAGTCATCACCAATACCATGAAGAATGATATCAATGATGTTTCCATCATCCATGGGATTGCCTAGAATAACGAGTTGATCAACATGAGTTTAGACAAATTCCATAAACTCAGTCATGGTTAATAACCTTTTATAAGATTCTTGAGTCGATCCTTGATCTGTTTGATATTTGATGTTGATATTGGCTAGGATTTTTAAGACTTCACAAGATGTGGTGGACAGAGCGAGAAAGGGATGAGGGAAGTAGAAAGATATTTGACAAGAATGCTAAAGATGAGTTTTTTTTTTTACTGATCTATGTGATACAGGTAGATTGGGAGACTTCGTGTCATTAGTGGTCACGATTCAACAGGTGAGTAGAGGTAGTCAGGTAGGTACCATGAAGGACGCGGCAGCTGGTTGCAATTGTAGGGATTGCTACTGCTTCGATCCATTTTTAGATTTTACGATAGTGACATGATTATTTTCTTTGTTTTAAACAAATATGTTATAAGATACAACGTTCGAGTTAGGCCAGTTACAGAATTTTTTGCTACAAGTCAAAGTAAGCCTAACTAAAGGCATACAAAGAAAATATCGGTAAAAATGAAAACTAACTAAAAAATTACAATGAATGCAATTTTCTCTTACAAGAACTTATTTGTTATCTTAATTGTTTCATTGGTATATGCAATCAACTTGTATCCCTTCAATCCCATGGGCGGTGAAATTGGTGCTTCTGGTTTGCATGTGCTGCTGGGAGCTGAAGCAAATTTACTCTTTTTTTGTGGGTAGCACACAAGTAATTTAAAAGGTATATTTCAATTTTTGAGAAAAAATCAATAAAAGTCTTTCAATATTATTATCTTGAAACTTTAAGGGATTGTTTGTTTTAACTTTTAAGGAAAGTGGTTGGAAGTGAGTTCAATCATTTGTTTGGTAGAGACTTGAGAATGAGTGACGTGAGTTTTTGTTTTTAGAAATAGCCTTCATATAGATGAAAAATGATTTAACTTTTGAAAGATGGAAGTTACCTTTAAGTTTACTTTTTACATTTGGTAAGAATGATTGAATAAATAATATAAACTTAATAAAAATGGTGGGTTAGTATTAAATTAATGTGAAAATGAGTGAAAATAATACTCTCTGCAGCTTAAATAAAAACAACAGTTGAGTTCAATAGAAGTGATTTTGTATAAAAACGAGTATAGATCATTGAAATTCATTTTAATGACATCCTCTTATGAAACTTCATTCATTTTCAAACACTTATATTGAACCAAATTAGTCTTAAATGCTTTAAAATTGGAAAGTTTACACCCATGACCCAGAAGTGTTACTTGATATTTGCGTCTGATTACCTCTTCATGCCAACATCTATGAGCTGTTAACTTATTTGAGTTCATATTCTTGCAGGTATGGCTTATAGCTTTGGTAGTATTACCAGCTAGATCACACATTTACATGCGAATTGGATTAGTGCTATATCTTTCATTCCTATCTGTACTGGTTCTTCCAGCTCGTGTTTGGATGGTAAGCGTGGCAGTGTTAGCCGCTTGATTTTTATGGTAGTTTATAACAAAATTTCTGTATTTGAACACAAATATTGCAAATCAACATCTTCTGAATTTATGGTTATAAACAAGTTTCTAATGGATCTTCTTGTAAAAGTTCTTCAAAAAATATGGATGTTAAACCTAATTCAGATTTAGCTGATTCTTCTATGTGACACTGTTTATATTAATTTTTTACCCTTTGTTTACGCAGGAGTGAGCTGCATGGACGAATTAGTTCTTTTAATTTTACTTAAAAAGTTGAAAATTTGATCTTTTCGTTGCAGGACCAATTGGGAAGAGTGGCCTTTCTTGCTGGAATACTATTCATCATGCTGGGATTTGGTTCAGATAGTGTACCTCCAGCTGTCCAGTTAAGAACTCCTCCCCCATCAATGATAGGATTGCCAGATATTCCTAAATCCTTGGCAGGTTATTCATATATGATCATGAAGTTAGGACCATTCCAACTAACAAGGAAAGGCTTATCAGTAGCTAGCACATCTGCATGTTTAACATTTACCGTATGTTTTCCCATCTTAATTGGCTTGCATGTTTGTATTGCTAGTTATGTTCTGCATTTCCATTTTCTATTGACATTATTTGCTAAAATGTTTAGAATTATACGCCTATATTTACTCCTCCATGTAGCGCCAAATACATGGAAATGAGCTCAGAGGTTTAGGCTTCGTTTGGGATGATTTTCTTCCTGCTTCTTAAAGCGGCTTTCTAGTACAAATATTTAATATTTGTACTAGAAAGCCGCTTTAAGAAGCAGAAAAAAGCCGTCCCAAACGAAACCTTAGTTTTCCCTTTTTTGCAGTGGAGGTAGCTCTTATAAGCTTCTAATATCTGTTGCCATCCTTGCCACCGTGTTCATTAGCCAAAACTAACCTATTTCAAAGTTCTGTGATATAAATTGAAGCTTCTCTTTTCTATTGGTGACCTTTTTTTACCGGCACCACCCTTTGTAATAAATTTTCTATAGATAATTCTTAAGTTTATGTAAGTTTCCTACTTTCAACTTCAGAATATTATATAAGTGGTGCAATGGGTGGCTAAATTTTTTAGTGGAAACGTTGGTGTCCTGTCTAGTTATTTTGACTATCTGAATTTTCTTTTCAGGTTATTGATTTATTTTCCCATTTTTGTTTTTTAAATTCAAATTTTCTTTCTTGTTTTTGTGAAGATTTTTCAAAGTGCTAGTCTATGCTTGACAACAACAACGCCGGAGCAGCTTGCATCAGCATTATGGTGGTTTATGTATCCATTGTCTTTTGTTGGTGTTTCAGTGGACGAAGTTATACTCACTCTACTACTTTCATTGAGGTTTATCAATCTAGTGTTTGATGAGGCAAGTTTTGGAGCCCTTTTCTTTATAAGCTTAGTTCTATAATTGTTGAAAATAATTTAGATTTTAGAATACTGCATCTGGGAGTCGTTTTTGGGGAGCATTTTATTCCTCCATCAACACTTTTTGGTTTATTTTGCATAAATTTTGCAGATTATCTTCTTCAGCCTATCCAACCTGATTATCTTCTTCAGCTAATTCAATCTATAATCTTTTCCAGGTACGTAACACTGCTCTAGGGATTGTTGCACGTAGAATATGCTGGCAGAAGCTGACATTTTTGGAAACACTGGACGGTAATTTTCATTCACTCATTATTCCTTATCCAACTAAACACTTTATCTCCTATTTCCTGCAGACGACCTAGATACTTTGATATTTTTTCCTTGGGGTTTTGACTCTGTAGCGTGCAAAAATGTGAATATGCTCTTATTCTTTGCTTCATACTCATTCTTCACCATTTGTTTGGTTAACTTCGATTTGCTGCACTTTTATTTTCGTATAGTGCTTCATCATGATCATGTTTATATTTATTGCCTTTTGAAGATAATAAGTTGTGGTTCCATCTCTTTCTATGAAAGCTAATAGTGAACCTGTAGATGGGTATGAATGATGAATGAGTCTTAAAATGTGTCTTCCTGCTAGTGGATACCTTGACTTTCATGTGTTTAAAAATCAATTCGTTTAGGCCCTTCAGCTTGATTAACTTCTAAGTACCCAACGTTATTCATGCAAAGATTTCCTCTATAAGATGAGTGGCATTCGTATGAACTAACTCTCTTTCAGTCCAAGATTTTGAAATACCTCTTCATGGTTCCAACTGCTGTATTGGAATTAAAATGTTTTTTTGTTAATCATTGCCGTTGCAAGATCCCAAGTCCTAGATGAGAAAAGTGGAGGGTTGCGTTAGGTTATTGACAACCAGCATAAAACTTGTCGAACAATAATGACATGAATCTTTTAAGAAATTGTGTTAATGCTAGGGCGTCCCCTGGAAGCGACGCGCTGTATGGCCTGAATACAATGACAAGTGTGCAAGGGCCGCTGCACCGACGCTTGGGTGCAGTGTTAAATAGGCAAGGGTTCCCACATCAAGGAAGGATGTGGGCAAAGAAGCTAGTCCATGAAACTAAAATTAGGATAGGAACTTGGAATATAGATTCCCTTACAGGAAAATTAATGGAATTAATAGATATTATGATTCATAGGAAGTTAAATATTTTGTGTATTCAAGAAACTAAGTGGGTTGGAGAGAAGGCTAAGAAAATTGATAGTTTAGGTTTTAAACTTTGGTATTCATAAAAAAATTTTGAAAAATTATAATAACTTGAAAATTATATTGAATAAATGTTTAATAAAAAAATGATCAAAATATCTTACATTTAACATCATTAACTCTAACATTAGATGTTAGGACAAAAAATATCCCATTTTAAACAGTTGAGGCATCAAATTTGTCCCTCAAAAGAGTTGGGGACTATTTAGCTCCTTCACAAAGATTTGAAAGATCATTTTCTCCATTCTAAAGTATCTCGATTAATAGGTTATCTGCCGTCTAAATGTTATGTTCATTTTTTGCGGCCTACAATAGTTCTCTTAGTTTAAACATTATTCGTATTGTGTTTTCTTAATTTAAACGTTCTTTCTTATTGCTGTCTTCTTTGTGCAGTCTTCGTTATGTATGTTAGACGTATCTTCAAGAACATTTTTAATCATGCAGAGCAAATTTCCAAGGTTTGTACTTCCTTTTTCACATCAATAGTTGCATACGTTCAAATATTATCTAAAATATTTCATTTATTGACTTGTATGTACAGTAATTTATTTAATATAATTATGAGAGCACCAAAATAGATTATGCAGAAGTGCATTCTGGTATGTTATGTTTTTGCTTATTACAGTTAGCTGTGTAGATTGAGTGCATTCAGCTTCTGATGGCGATGATTGTATTGCCATCCTCTTATGAGCTAGTTCTAGCTTATGCAAAATTGTGCATAAAAAATAGATGGATTAGTTGAATTTCTGTGTTAAAAATAAAGGGATAAGCAAAGAGTTATAGAAGAGAAGACTAGATTGCATTTCTTGTATCAATGAAGGAGCAAAAGTTCAATATTTATAAGCAAGCATGAAGACTCAAGGTCTGTCCAAGAGCTATGTAAGGAAGAAAACTAAGTGCAAATATTGGGTAGTAAATGCATCGAGTCAATCTTCTTCTAATGGAAATAAACAACAAGCAAACTTGGTGAAGAAATAAGGACACATGGGAAGCAAATCCAACATGAATGGGCGACAATTACAGCAGTCCAAATCTAAGAGAAATTGCCCTCCACATTGTTAATAAAGCTAGGTTTGATTGCTACAACCGTGAGCTTGTTTTCCGGAATTGATCGTGGATTGAATGGGGCAGATTTCTCTTGTTGAGCAACCCTTAATTCCTTCCATGTTACCATCATCTAGTAATTCTTCCAAATAGGAAAGGGCTGTCTATCCAAAATTCCACACTACCCTTAGGTAATAAATATTAATCATTCTTAGCTTGAAGATGAGGATATCGAATTGCATTTGACTTAGGCTTTAATGAGGATGTTACCGTTTGATATTTTAATGTCTTGTTCAATTTTAACCTTTATGAAATGTTTATTAATCTCGATATACTTAATCTGATCATGGTAGATAGAATGTTTAGCAATATTGATTGTACTTTAATATATATTGATTCTTTATTGTGGACGCTTAGATCTTTCAAAAATATTTTGAGCAATATTTCTTCACAAATTTGATGAGTCATGGCCTTAAATTCAGCTTCATCACTGCTTTTTACGGCAACTGTCTACTTCTTACTTTTCCCGCTGATTATATTTCTCTATACAAATGGGCGGTAGTCAGAAGTGGACTTTCAATCAATTATAGATTCAGCCTCGTTAACCTAAGTGAAAATTTTAATACTCCTTTTTATTTCTTTCTTGAAGAATAAGCCTTTCCTTGCTTTTTAAGATATCTTAGCGTCCTACAAACTTCATCAAGATGTTCTTCAGTGGAAAGTTCGTAAATTGACTTAAAATATTGTTATTTCTCTTTACCAACTTGAAAAGTATCACCTTTTGATCCAATTTTATTGATATGATTTATTGTAGTATTAAAAAGTTTGTATCCTATCATACTTATTTCTTTTAAAAGATTAAGTGTATATTTTAATTGAGAATATCTTTATCTTTATTTGATATTCTGATCTCCTTACCAAAAAAATATTTTAAAATAGCTGAGTGTTTAATTTTAAGTTCATTTGCAAAGATCTTCTTTAGCCTAGTAATTTCTTTTGTGTTATTATTCATATATTATGAGAATGGTGATTTTATTAAAAAATAGTGTGGTGAACCTGCCCTTTAGAGTAACCCATGCTTTTAAATTATAGTATTGAATCTATTGAATTAGGTGCTTGGAAATTGCTTTAGGTTATTGAAGAATTTCTTAAGCTTGCAAAGGTTTATCTTATTATCAAAGGTTTTAAATTTAGGACGTATAGTTATATACACATCTTTTCAAGATATTACTATATGGGAAAGCTTTTTTGTCATCTAGTTAGTGAAGAGGCTGATCAATATCGGCAGGAAGGGTGGGAATGACCTGAATGGAGTTAATCCAAGCAACCGGTTCAAATATTTCTTGATAGTTCATCCTTTAAAATTGTGTAAGCATTTTTGTATCGACTAGCTTTATATTTTATATTGAATATCCATTTGAACTCAACATGTTTCTTTTCTTTTAAGAGGGTTGAGATCTTCCAACATGAATGTTTTTTCTCTATTGTGTCTTCTAAAGAGTCAAATTCTCATTTAAATGTCATTTCTAATACTTTATAACCAAGTCTTTTTTTGGTCTACCTCTACCTTTCTTAACATAGGCTTGATCTAATACATCTACTCTCCTAGTTGGGTTATTGGAAGGCCGGCATTTTATGTGATCAGACCATCTAAGGGACTCTCTCTAATCTGGTGTTACTCCCTCTAATCTGGTGTTACTCCAACCTTTTCACGTATATACTCATTTCACACTCTGTATCTAAGTGTAAAGCCACTCATTCACCTGAGCATCCTGATATCTGCAACACTATTAATACTTAATTTTGTACTTCTCTTTTAACAACTAACATTCTGCATCAAAAAATATTGTAGGTCTCACCACCACCTTATAGAATTTTTCCTTAAGTTTGAGGGTATTTTTTTATCATACAATAGTCTCGATATATTCTTCCACTTCAACCATCTAAATTGAATTCTACTAATAATATCCCATTTATTTCACCATCACTTTGAACAATAGACCCGTGGTATTTTAAACGGGTAATTTTTTTTTAATGACTTGATCGTCTAAACTCCAAAGTCACAATCCCCCACTAGATCTATTACTATTAAAATTACACTCCTTGTATTCAGTTTTAGGTCTACTCAAACGAAAACTTTTAAACTCTAAAGTTGACATCCATTATTCAAGTTTTCCTTCAACTCTCTTTGGTCTTATCAACAAGTAGAATATCATCATCAGAAAGCATACACCAAGGTTGTGAGCTTCCATGTGCCATTTTTTCCTTTGCCTATAATTCTTCATGAATCACATCTATCCATTCAGATATTGCCAATGCTTCATCAATATTGTTGGCAACGTTCATACTAGAAAGATTTGTTGTAAAGACGTGACATTGAATAAATAATTTGCTATAGATAATTTATGATCTCAAACGCTACATTGCTTACCTGAATATGATGAAATGCCGTTACAACTCAATAAATGAATTAGTACTTGAGGTGATTTGGGATTATCACAGACAAAGAAAACTCAAATATGATGAAATGCCGTTACCTGAATATGGTGAAATCAGTTTTTAGAACAAAAATTTCTAATTTAAGAAATTTTTATATTAAAAAGTCGTTTTAGGAATCAGCAAAGAAGTTGTCTCAAATGAAGCCCAAATCTTTTTTGTTTAGGACGGCTTTTTTACTGTTTTCTAAAGCAGTAATTTAGTACAAATTTTTAGTTTAAGAAATTTTTAAACTAAAAAATTGTTTTAGAAACTAGTAAAAAAATCATCTCAAATGAAACCAGAGTAATACAAGAATGGAGGACAACCTGCACTTTATGACAGCTGGGTTCTTTGTTCTTTATGTTTACATTATCAGAAGAACTTCTCAACCAAATGCACTGAACAATTAGGAGTTGGAACTAATCTTGAAGAGTAGCTCCTTTCTCAGTTTTCTTTTCTTCAGTAATGCGTGCTTTCAGTGCCATTAAATATTGCAATTTCAATGATTTCAACTTCTTAAAGTTACTGTACATCATTATTTTCATTTAGTAGATGGCCTTTGATCTGTTTTTCATACAGGCCATGATTGCTAGAGGTTTCCGGGGTGACAGTTCAACACATAAGATTTATTTACTTTCCAACTCTACTTTTGGACTCCTAGATTTTGTTTCATTGCTGTGCCTTCTCGGTCTGTTTGGTGCTGCCGTTCTGTCAGAAAGAGCTCTTATTTAAGATGCAGAAATCACATATGTAAGTACTGTATGCGTCTTTGAAAATTTATTTATTTATTCTTTATGGAGAGCTGTTTGTTCTGTTCCCCTCAGAAGTCAGAATTGTGAAGATTGAGAGTTGTTTCTACTCCTTTTTCTTGCATTGACTGCTGACATAAAGATCTTAAGGAAGCGAGAAGTAAAAAAGGATAAGGTAAAGAAATAATGCGTCTCCTACAAGAAGGCTATGTTTGATTTGGAGAAATTTAGGGGTGTTTTGTTTATTGAAAAAGAATGCAAAACAAATTGAAATTTATTGTAAAAGGAATATAATGTATTTGAAATCTTTAAAATTTGTTTCAAAGAATGTACAATAAATGTATATGATTATTTTTTTATTTGATATGAAAAAATTTCAATGACAGTGGTGGTTGGTAGTAATAGAGTGAGTGGCGGAGCCGTGCATTGTTGGTACATGTTTTTTTACAATAATTATAACAACATCAAGCTTTTACCTATTGTGTAGGGTCTGCTTGAATCCTTTTTTCTATTATCTTATTAAGAGTCAAATTCTTATTCAAATCTACTGAATAAAGATCATTTCTAATACTTTTAATCGAGTCTTTTTAGGTCTATATCTAATTTTTTTAATATAGATTGGCGCTAATACATCTGCTCTTCGTTTTATGTGATCAAATCATCTAAAATGGCTCTCTCTAATCTTATTTGCCATCGGAGTCAACTTTTTCATGTATATGCTTATTTTGTGTTTTGTCTGTAGATATAAAGTCACCCATCTACCTAAACATCTTAATTTTATACTTCTCTTTTAATGACCAATATTTTGGATCATAAAATATTGCAGATCTTACCATCTTTATAAAAAATTCTCTGTTTTACAAATTTAGGGTTTACTGTTTGTCAATTTAATGGGAATCTCATGCTCATATGATTACCATTTAGCTGAAATTCTGACAGTGCAAAAGCTAGAGTAAAGCACGTGCTGTAAGATCATTTAGGCTTATGTAGGGGTGTCAATTACCTTAAAGCATTTCCACATCATTACAGAGAGTTTAGATGATTTGAATTTAAATAGATAAGCGTTATTTTTTTCAACAAATACTAATCACGTCATTATAGAATTCCTTCACAAACAAGACCTTCATTGTAAGAACCAGTCTGGTCGGTTCTTCTTAGGGCATCTCCAATAGAGAACTCCATTTTTTACAATAAAATACTGCAAAACTCCAAAATGCGGTGGTGCTGCTCCAATCGAACGCCATTTTTATGCTTCTACGAAGGTAACGATCATTCTCCCTTTGGCGCCTTTTTTCGGTTGAGAGAGCAAAATAGCGTGGGTGAACAGTGCAACGCCAATATTGGCATCGCACTGTTCACCTGCAAGTAAATGGCGAATGATTTGGCGTTCGGCTGGAGCGATCGAATGACGTCATACGCTCGTTTGGAGATGCTCTTAACCGGCTTTATTCAGGACGCATGCGAAGCAGAGCCCGAACAGACGAGTCGTCCGTGTGCGTAGATCTCCATGTGGGGTTGAATCATGCTGCTAAGTGAGAAATCGCTTAAGGAAAGATAAAGAGAGACTCCTCATGAGAGATATGTCCATTTCACTGGCTCCAGTGGAATTGATGCAATCTAAGTTTATAAATATTTTATGGAGAAAACTTAGGAAAGCAATTAGAAAATTCTTTCTTTCAATAAAGCATAAATATTCACATGTTAAAAAAGTTAAAAAGTAGAAACAAGTTTTAGGAAGCAACTTACGAAATTTGTAGGTATAAACAGAAAAATGTAAATAAGGTTACCCTCAGAACAACCAACAGGTGGTCATCTTACATATAAAACTCGAAAAAATTAGGATAGGTGCTCAAAGGAAAGATCTAATTCGGAATCCACCACTGAAATGATCCGGCACAAGTTCACCCTCTAGTAAATACCAACCACATCAAACACCACGAAGCTCACAAGAGAAGAAGGATACAGATGGGGCGGGAATCGTGGAAAGAGAAGAAGAAGTAGAAAATCGAGATGAAGAAGTAAAGGGACAAGGGAAAGGAGGCTAACTCGCAAGCTAAAAAACCTACATGTTTCTATATCACATGCCTGATTATCCACTGAGTTTGCAATATAAAATCAACTTATGAAACTAAACTTTTCAGTAAATCTCATCACAAATAGAAATGATTGAAGGATGAGAGTAATATGTCTAAAGAAAATGGCGCAAAACTGAAAGCAGGTAATTTATGATTTAAGTAAATGTTAAATATGTGAAAGATTTTATTACTAGTTTAATGGAAATTGTATTAGTGACTATTCAGTTTTTTTTAGAATGTATTTGATAAACTGTTTTTGAATTTGAAGAAATATTATAAACGTCCAACTGTTCGTTCCCGACTCATTAATTCGAGTATCCGATTCGGATCGTGACATTCACTTTCGCTTAAAAAACTATTATGAATCCTTTAATCCCAATTAGTATTTTTAACTACCTTTATATGACTATTGATATTTAGGTTGTTTGGAATATATTTCTTACTATTTTTTAAAATAGTTTTCTAATATAAAAATTTTTAATTCAAAGAATTTTGAACTAAAAATTTTTATATTAGAAAGCTGCTTTAGAAAATAATAAGGAAGGTGCTCAAACAAAATCTTAGGCTTTGGTTGAGATAGTTTTTGACAATTATTTTCTTATTATTTTAAATAAATTTTTGTAGTAAGACTTTATTTTAAAAAGTATTAAAAAAAGCTGTACCAAACAAAATTTTAATCTCTCCACTAATACAAAATTATTTATTAAGGTATTTAAATCCCATCAAATCCTGATCACGCAGCATTCGTCCCCCTCATGACATTTTATTACGTCCGGTGTCCGGATTCGTCTGGACACCAATTCAGATGCATCACATCACCAAAATATTTTTTTAGGACATTTAGGCCATTTAAGGCAAACTCACACACACAACGCATACACATGGACTCGAACCTTGGACCTCTTAGTTGGAAGCCTAAGCTCTCAACCAATAGGCCAAGGGGAGTTGTGTCATCACCAAAATATACATAGGCCAAATATATTCGAGTGACGTGACTTATTTGAATTGGGTGTCTAATAATTCGCCCTCTTGGTTTCTTTCTTTTATGTTAACTTAGAAGTTTAGAATGAAGCAGGTTTAGCTATTTTTCGTTTGGATCGAAAAAAACAAAACCCCGCTCCGGCTCTGCTAGAATTTTTGGGTTTTTCTCCCCTGCCGAGCTTCCTCTCTTCCGCCGCCCCTCCGGCTCTGCCGGAGGTTCCACTGCATGGAGGCCTCTCTTCTCTCCTCTGGTTTTCCACCCCTTTCTTCTTCTGCAGCTGCTGCTCCGATTTCTCTGCGCAACTGGAACCAAATATTTGCCCCGGACTCCTCATCTGCTTCCAAAGTCTTCAACTTTTCTCATCATCCTTCGGAACCGGAAATTATTCCTTTTTCAAGCGATAAGCTTGCTAAAGGGGGAGATGACTGGAGACTTTGTCTTGTTGGCTACTCTATTGGTCGGAGGCCCTTTTATGAAGCTTTGCTGGGAGCTATCAACAAAACGTGGACTCTAAAAGGTTCTCTGCAACTCCTCTCGTTAAGTGATGGCTTTTTTCCTTTTACGTTTTTCCTGTGAAGAAGATTATGACATGGCTTGGTCTAAAGGTGTGTGGTTTTTGCTTGGTAAACCCTTTGTTCTTCAAAAGTGGCACCCAAAATTCAAACCTAAGAGAGAAAACTTCGCCACAGTTCCTATCTGGGTTAAAATCCACGATCTTCCCCTAGCTTGCTGGAATTCGGAGGGTATCTCGAGAATAGCCAGCAAGATTGGAGTTCCTCTAGCTGCTGATCACCTCACGGAGCAAAAAACTAGGCTTACATTTGCTCGGGTTTGTGTTCTGGTTGAATGTAATGCTACTTATCCTGATGTAATCAAAGTTTCTTTGGACGGGGATATAGTAGAGTTGAAGGTCCAATATGAATGGAGGCCGGTGCCCTGTGAACACTGTAAGTCTCTTGTCCATTATTCTTCTTCATGTCCTCAGAATCCAAAACCTACTGAGAATGATCAGGTGAATACTTTCTCCAAAAACCTACCAATCGTTTTCCATCGAGACCCCCCATTCAGTTAGGGAAGAAGTTTCAGTAAGAAACATACCAATCGTTTTCCAGTGTCCCATTTTGAATCCAACTGATATAATAGAATCGTTACTGTGGGTAATCAAAACCCTTTTCAGTTATCTATTGTTTATGCGGCTAATGGCTCTTCTGAAAGGAAAGATCTTTGGAATTCTATCAGTCAAGTGGCTCCCACTACTGATCTACCTTAGGCTGTTTTGGGGGACTTTAATTGTTGTCGCTATGCTAATGAGAAATCTGGAGGCTCTTCTCTTCACCATTCTAGTCTGGTTGATCTTAATTCTATGATTTTTGCTAATAGATTGATGGATTTGCATTCTGTGAGTAACTTCTTTACTTGGTTTAATCAGCAAGCTAATAATCCTATTTTTATTAAACTGGATCGTGCTCTTGTTAATGATGATTGGGTGAAGAATTTTCCTTCTTCTTTCTGCTCTTATCAGAGCCCCTCTTGCTCGGACCACTCTCCGATCATTTTACATCCAGGGGATTCCTCTACCTCTTACCACCGCTTCTTATTCAAGAATTTTTGGACTAAGCATGATAAGTACTGGTCTTTTCTTTTAAATGCTTTTTATTTGTCGATTACTGGGAATCCTTTATCCCATTTTTGTAATGTTCTAAAATGTCTGAAAGGTGATATTAAACATCATGATTGGGCAAACTCTAATTCTTTAGATGTTCAGCTTGATGCCCTTTATGTCAAACAACATAATCTTCTGAATATCATTCAGAATTCTCATCTGGATGCTGCTCTCAATGTTGCTCTCAAAGACATAAATTTACAAATTTCTGAAGTTACTTCTGTAACGACCCCAAGATTCGTGTAGCGAAAGGATTCATCTGATCGTTCTATTGCCTCTTTTTTTTTTCTTTCTTCTTTTCTTTATATCGGTTTCCTCATATGTTGTTCATATCAATCCATACATACATATATCCAGAGCCAGAGATAATTACATTACAGAAAAGAAACAGCAGCGGATACTATAATTCACATATAATACAACAGTCAGAGTACAGCCAAAAGAGAAATCTACACTAGCCGTACAGGCTACAAAAGAAAAAGCTACAGAGGCTACAAAAGAAAAAGCTACAGAACTCGGCAGAAAGATCTTCAAGCTGGAGGCCCTGCACCTGAAATCATTAACCACATATAATGAGCTTACAAAGCCCAGCAGGTCACCAAAGCCTACAACTGAAATCAAAGCACGACACTGAAAGCAATATGCAGGTTAATCAAATCAAGTCAAATCAATCAATCGTACATGATCAATGAGTCAATGCAATACATAAATCAATACGGAACATAAATCAATAAAATCAATAACCAGTAGGAAATCCATAAAGCTCAAAAATCAATGCGTCAATCCATTCTCTACAATCTCTATCATAGCAATCGATAACATCAATTACATCAATACAATCGTCTAGTCGTCTTACTTATCATATCACATCAGTCAAATCAATAGAGTGAAATCGTATCGGAACATATACTTGCAAATCAATCTATCGTTCAATCTCACTTACTTCTTATCAATCCAGTAGTGT